CGAAATGGATATTTCACCTGTTTCTCCCTACATATCCTGAACAATCCTAATAATTTTTGTCTATTCTTAAAAATTTCCACTGATGCAGATTCCAAATCTTGATGGATGTCAGTGCTCGAAGGCTCTTCTGTTAGGAATTGTGAACTATAACACACAGGCTCTTTTGTCCTTCCTGCTGACAAGGTAGGAGAGATATTTCTCCATCTTTGTACAGTCCCTTGCATACTGAGAATTAGTGTGCTGGCCTCTCTCCTTTGTCCAGTTTCCCAAGAACTAACTCCTTTGTTTTTTCCAGGCCTGTGACATCTCTAGTTTGTTCATGCGTTTCTTCAACATTTGCATTGTCTTCATTCAGATCAATAGCCATGATTAAAATTATTAATAGGTAATTACTGCACATATTAAGTTAATGCAAAGAGATTGCCAACAGGATGAAGAACTTGGTTTGCACAGATGCTCAGTAACAGGTTATCGGTTCTTCCAACTGCTTAAGATCCAGTAGGGTAGGTGAGATACTACAATTAGATCATTAGACTTATAACCAGGGCATCCATTTCTCTCCACCAGCAAAATACCAGTAGATACATTAACTACATTATTATTAGGTACATTATTTCAGAACTCCATTTTCACAAATATGCATTTATGTATCACCCTTGTTAGCTTTACTGGAATTCAGGCTTCAGTTCCCAGACTCAAGTGCTCCAGGAATTTGTATCTACAAAGCTTGTAGGGCAAAGTTTGAGTGTGAGGCCGTCCTCTTCTGAGCCTTCAGAGCTATCTGGCTTGCTTAAGGTATGTATTCACTGGAACATGTTATATCAGTAATCAAGGACTATGAACTGGTAACCCATCATAAAATGTCTTTATGACATTGGGACTGCAGAACCTGTTCAGAGTAGTGCTGACTTAGATTAACATGCTCATTAAATCAGTAAAGCTTGTGGCAGTCACTCCATCCCCCTCCTCCCCTTATTAGTAATTTATCCAGCAAAAGACCTTGACAGGTCAAAAGCCATCTCAGAGTGGGTGAATGAAAGAAAAAGGGGAGGTACTTATTTCAACAAAACTGCTTCATGTAGTCCAGGTATTAGGTAAATCTCATGTAATGGTAATAAGAAAGTTGAAACATTGCTTATTTTCACATTTGGAGAGTCAGGACAAACTACAAATCTTCATGCGCTTCATGTACTTAAAAGATTGTCTATTTGGAGAGTGAGAAAGAGGGAGAAGACTGAAAAAAACAACCCAAAACTCATGTATTCTACACCTGTTGTGTAAGGGAAAAAATATTATAATAAATTGAAAGACTACATCAGCAACTGTAGTCTAAGTAATATGTTAATGTTCCATGAAGACACCACAATCTTGTCTTAAAAAAATGCATCTATAAAAAAGAGGGCAAATGAAGTGATCTCCAAGTCCTGAAGTGATCAGTCTCAACTAAATCAAATGGGTTTGGGGTTTTTGTTTGTTTTTATTTCTAAGGCATCACTGTAAATCTACAGTAATCTGCTAGAGGAAAACAAAACAAAAAAGGTAATCTAATTTTACATTGGATATGTTTCTTTTGCAGTAAGCCATCATTACAGTTAATTTCAAGCACCAAATGGAAGATGGGACTGAGTCGGTTTTGCAATTTTGACTACTGCATTAGCATTTATATTTGATTCAATGTAAATGATTTTTCTTTTTCAGTATGTGCTCTTCACTTTGAAACTTTATCCACATACATATTGCCAATGAATCAACTTATGAACTAAGTAGCAATCATCAACTGCAACAGCTGAAGAGGTTATATCCTATTGTGATCTCAAAGTAGTTGCTGATCAGGGGTTTGGGTAGCTTGCTTCTACAATGAGGATCTGGTTTATTCTTCAGAAAATCCTGGCCTACCTGGTTAACTTCTACTGGGAAAATTCAGGTTTAAGTCTCCACCTTAAACAAAGAAAGCTGAGAACTGAAATCTCACTTTACCAGGAGCACAAAACCTTTGGTGCTTGCCTGAGCTACTTAAGTGAGTCTTCTACTTCATCTTTCCTGTGAGTTTGGTTTCATTTTTTGATAAGCAATTGATCATTGGAGGTGAGAAGCAGAAGTACCTAGTGGCTTTTACAAGAATGTTTTCTTCTGCATCTCCATCTACATCCCTTCTTTGCTTCAGACCTCTGACCTCTCTGGTGTTATATATGACCAGTCTCCATGGACATATATATGGAGACAAATCTCAGGACTCTTGAATAGTGGGGTGCCTCACAGTAGCTACAGTATATAGAGGCTGGATGTCTTCTGATGTATATTTATAATGCTGAAAGTTGTAGTGCATGCTACTTTTCTCATCTGAAGACAACATAAATAACTCAGGGAAGAAAAATATATTTCATAGTCATTTGCAGATGGACCTTATCCAAAACTCAGAATCCGAATTCTCCTGATGTTTGAAATATGCAGAATCTGACTTTAGATCTTCATTTTGCTCAGTGGTTTCCAAGCATCACCAATTTCAGGTTTGGGTTCTGAACAGATGTTTTTAACTGTAAAGCCATCATTTCTTCCTTCAGTATACATATCAGTTCTTAGCAAAGCCTGCAGCTCTACATTAAATACAACCACGCTTTACACATAGAACTTGACTTTGGTTTTAAAGAATACTAGATGAGGAGGGCAAACAAGCTCCCATTCCTCTCAGGTGCTGCTGAATCTAGATATACTTGGTAATAGCTATGTCTAATTATGTGTTACTGCCTAATCCAACAAGCTGCCCTCATGAGCGCTTCTGGCAGTAGCTTTGTTATTAATTTATATGTTAATTTTCCAGTGATGTTAAAAATTGTAGCCAAAATTTTCTTACAATACATTTCCTTGAGCAATCTTTTAATTTTACAATCTGTGACTTCATTAAACTTGCAACTTACTGTAATCCTATATAAGGCTTGATCCAAAACCATCAAAATCAATACATACCTTCATTTGGATATATACAAGCAAGCACACATACTCATGTAATAATTTTGCTATTGGTATTTACTTATGAATAGGAAGATTTTTGCAACTGCTAGTACTTTATCTATCACTGATATTTGTCCAAATTTGATATTCTCAATCTTTTTTTTTTAATTCCTAACATGTCAAAACCATTTGGAAAAATATTAAATAAGAACAAAATAGAAAAAATTGTGTAATTTCTAAAAGTCCAATACTGCCAGCCTTACTATTAAATTTCATATTGATGTCTATATTTTGAAGTTTTATGTGCTACTCAAATTTACATTCCAACTTTAACCTCTTTTCATAATTTAAATCTAAGGAATCATACAGGAGTTTGGAGAGAAAATGAAAGGCAGGTGAAAAAATACGAACACATTAATTACAAGGATGCTGTCATATATAAAGGTTGGGACTAAGTAGACAGTTCTAGTGCTAATTTAGTCTGAATTTGGTCTACATTCTGCTTCTTATGGAATACTAAGCAAAGATTAATTTTTTAGTCTTGGATGTTTTCTATGGAAAGGTCATTTATATTATAGGGTCAGGCATTGATAGATCTTTCTCCTCCCACACTTGGTCTGCATGTGCTTAGTGCAGTATTTTCATTATTTCACTTAAAGTGTTATTTCTCTGATAGCTGTCAGCATTTTATTATGAACTCTGATTTTTGAAGATTTATAATCAGAAGTCACTTTTTAATCTAACATAGGGAATGTATGGAATTTAATCACAGAAATATTTTATTGTGAAATTTTGAAACATCTCTCTAGCCATTGTACTTAAAATCCCATATGGTGACATCAAGCAGGCACAAAAAACCATAAAGCGTCAAGTACAAGTATATATTCCTCAGCAGGTATATATTAGTGCAACAAAACTTTCACTGTGAAATTATGTCATGTCTTTTTAACAGTAATATATAATACAAATTTGGTTTGAGCATGGGGTCAGAAAATGACGTGTTGGCAACAAGCTTTTGACTCAAACTGGTTAAATTCTGGTTTCTGAGACCGGAAGTCCTTCCTTTAACCAATGCAGCAGTCAATCACAAACACTTTGAGAAACTGCGATGGTGAACCAATAATCTACCCGAGCCTGCAATATCTCTGAAAATCTCCCCCAAAGGGAAAAAATATACAGTCTAGGGAGCTTAAAAACCACTTTTGCTTTGAATTCCTCTGACAGAAACCTTCTCTGACCTACCTGCTAAAAGGTGTCTTTATGCTACATTCTAACCACAGCATGGCCTTGCCCATGACAGAAGACACTGCTCTTCTGCTGTCTGCTATTCCAACTGTCAGCACACCTAACTCTCAACTCTGCCTCCTAAAATGCACCTAGACCTAAGGTGAGAAAAGGCAATAATTTAGACCAAGACTCCTTGCCTTCTAAGAAATCTTCAGCCTGTTCTTATATTGTGTATAATTTTCTTTTTTATTATTATAGAGGTACTGCGCCGACAGTAACTGTTACCCCTGTTTGAGTTTGAAAAAGAAGAATTTAGGGCTTTTTTAGGTTTGTTTTTTTATTTGACTAAGTGTTTTCACTTAATATTCTGCCATTGTGAATGACCAAAAGGCTAGGCTGAGAAAGGGTTAATAGGACACCACTTCAGACCACGGCATTTTATATGTCTTCTACTCACCTCCTGCCTGCTGGCATCACCAGGAGAGGAGACCTGTGATTACATAAAAGAATAAATATGAAATACACTGAATATCAGGGCTTTTAATATCAGTCATCACTGTAATTTTCTAGTAAGCAGCGAGTACTGAATGAGCTGTTGAATAGTGTAGTTTGCTGCTTGTTTCCTGTGAAGTACTCACCCGGTGCCCACCAAAGCTCCTCTATCGCTCTCCTCCTCAGCTGAACAAGGGAGAGAAAATATAACGAAAGGCTTGTGGGTCAAGATAAGAACAGGAAGAGATCACTCAGCAATTACCGTCACAGGCAGAACAGACTCTACTTGGGGAAATTAGTGTAATTTATTACCAATCAAAATCAGAACAGGATAACGAGAAAATAAAAACTAAATCTTAAAACACCTTCCCCACCACCCCTCCCTTCTCCCCACTTAACTTCACTCTTAATATGTCTTCCCCTGTGGGAGGATTTCCCCTGGGAAACGGGGGTTGCAGTCAGTTTATCACATGTTATTTCTGTTGCTCCTTCCTCCTCAGGTGGAGGACTCCTCACACTCTTCTCCTGATCCAGTGTGGGGTCCATCCTTCAGGAGACAGTTCTCTACAAAACTTCTTCAACATGAGTCCTTCCCTTGAGCTGCAGCTCCTTAGAAACTGCTCCAGCATGGATCCCATCCATGGGGTGTAGTCCTTCAGGAACAGAATGCTCCACATGGGTCCCCCACGGGCACCTGCTTCAGCATGAGCTCCTCTCTTCATGGGGTCACAGGTCCTGCCAGGAACCTGGTTCAGCGTGGAGTGTCCATGGGGTCACGGCCTCCTTCGAGCAGCCATCTGCTCTGACGTGGGTTCCTCCACAGGCTGCAGGTGGATATCTGCTCCACTGTGGGCCTTCATGGGCTGCAGCGGGACAGCCTGCCTCACCGTGATCTTCCCCATGGGCTGCAGGGGAATCTCTGCTCTGGCACCTGGAGCATCACCTCCCCCTCCTTCTTCACTGACCTTAGTGTCTGAAGAGTTGTTATGTCTCTCATATTGTCACTCCTCTCTTCTGGCTGCTGCAGGTTGTTGTGCTGTTTTTCTTTGTCACTGATGGTCTTGGCTTTGGCAAATGGCATGTTCATCTTGGAAGTGGATGACTCTGTTGGACATAGGGGAAACTTATAGCAGCTTCTTGCAGAAGACACCCCAATACACCCCCCCCCACACCATATCCCCTACACTCTCCCCCCCGGCTCCCAGCTACCCAAACCTTGCCATGCAAACCCAATCCATCAGTCTCTCTCTCTGCGCTGCTGCAGCAGTTGGGCTGGCAGGCGGCAAGAAAATTGACAAAGCAATGGGAATCCTCTCTGCTATTTACCCTGAGGATGGCCACAACAAAAGAAAAATGAGAGGTTTGACCTTACCGTTTGACTTGCTGCTCTGAGCAGGTTGCAATTACAGGCCACCTATCATTTCTCTATACACAAAAATACAGAGCGCAAGTGCAAATGCAGTTAATGAGAGCTTAGAAGCAGATGCTGTCTTTTCCCAGTTAACACAGTGATGGAGGTAATACAAAGAGCTCTTTATTTTCATGCTAGGGCTGCACAGCATATTCCTGACTAACTTGTGTTTGTGTTGGAGGCATGCATGCCAGGAAAATTAAAGTGTTACAGAGGTTAATTTGTAATAAGAAGTAGAGGCATATTGCCTCTCAGGCAATGCCCACAAAAAGTAGTTTCTGCTCCAGACTATGGTGATTTAGATTGGGCCAAGTTTTCACCTCTCAGATAAGTCAAGCTTGGGCTTCTGTGCTGCTAATAAAGACAGGCTGTGAAGTATCTGGATTGCATCTCCCATGCCATGGTGCAGTAGTATATCCAAACTAAAATATATGCAGCTTTACCCAAAACATTTAAGATATTTATTTTGTATTCAGAAAAGAAAAATAGGTTAATTTCCCAAAAGAAAGGAGAAACAGCTTCTGCAGTCATATTTTGATCAAAACTTTTATTCAGAGACACAGGCTCATGATAGAGCATTGTCTTATTCAATTGGCCTTTAAAGACATGAGTGAAGATATTACATGTCTGGACTGAGACAGATATTCTAGGGCTTTTATTGAATCACATTTCCTAATGCATTTGGGTTTTTTTAATGCTTCTTTCTTTTTTTATCAGAAAAAAAAAGTATTAAAAATATTTTTTAAAAATAGTAAAATAACAAAGTCCTCAGATTGCAGGAAATGACAACAGTGAAGTGATCCATGCAATTATGACATTTTTTATACTCCACATGGCAATCTCTAATTACATGTTATTATTTCCGCAGGACATAATGCCTCTGTGAGGGAACTGAACAAATGGAGAGAAACTGCATAACTATAGAATTCTGAAATTCAAATAAATTTTGAAGAACATAGTCTACGTTTCTTTATCAATATATGGAAACAATAGAAATGGAGACCAGGCAGTTGCAGAAATCTCCCTTATGGACACCACATACGTAACACATTTGATCTTTACACGTAACCCTTTCTCAAATGAGAGCACATGCTGCAGCTGTTGAGAACAAAATCAAATATTCATATAAGACTAGATCCCTAACAGTGTAAAAATACATACAAGAAAAATCCAATCAGATTGTGGTCCTGGGTATGGTAGAAAAGTAGTGGGGGGAATAAAAGAAAGGAAAAAAAAAGAAATATCATTAATAATTGCATTCTTCTCACTGACCTGCACTACTTAATAATCTTTGCCTATTTTTTACGCTGAAGAAATTATAAATCCAATACCACTCGCTTTATGAATATATTTGTGTGAATAATAAATGTGTAACTCATTTATCTATTTCAGAATGTTCTACAAAATAAAATTCTATAAAAATACTACCAACTTAGTCAATAGAAATGTATTTGTTGTTTTCCACATGAAAAAAATTAGAAAACCAAAATCTTTCTGCCTATCCCAGCTTTGCTATGGCCACTTATCAGTGTTTAGAGTTTGATTGCAAGAAAAAGATGTAAAGCAGAAGAAGAAACAATGTTATTGTGGTCCACTTAGAATAAGCTGCAATTCCTGAAGAATTGTAGGCTTTGAGCAACCTGCTCTAGTGGGAGGTGTCCCTGCCCATGGCAGGGGGGTTGGAACTCGATGATCTTTAAGGTGCCTTCCAACCCAAACCATTCTGTGATTCTATAAGAGGGAGTAAACTGTCAGTAGCAACTAATATCCTCCTAATGTGCTACTGCTGAGACACTACAACACTAAGATATGCTCCTGAAGATGTTAGAAAGATAAGAAAAAAGCAGAAATATAACCCATGCCAGGTGGACTCGCATGCCATGGTGCTAGCTGGACTGCCTGCCTGCATGCAGTGTGGGGGAAGTCCAGCTCTCGGCTGCACGGTAATTGTGCAGAAAAATGACAGAAAGGAGGCAGAGTGGGCTGTGCTTAAGCTCTGTGGACTGCTGCTTCAGAATGGTGTACACATAGTCCTGAAAGACCTTACCTTATATATGCAATCACCCTATCATAACACTAATATCTTTCCTTTTCTTTCTCTCTACCTTAGCATGAGCCCTTGACCATCTTCCTTCATTTCTCCGTCTCCCTACTTGATTTTGTTCTGAAGTCGTCTTCCTCTTTCTGAACTTTCTCTGCCTTAATAAATAAATACAATAAAAGTGTACACAAGTAAAGCAGCAAAACAGCTAAGGAAGCAAACACTACTGTCATTATTTCATGTTTCCAATTAATTCACATGGGAAAGGTATTGGAAGTCAATTCAGTGTATTGGAAACAAATCATTCAAGCAACATGGCAAGCTAGGGAAAATAAGTCCTCTTCATAATTACAAAACAGAATGTATTGTAATTGATCATATAGGTAGCCGATCTATTCTATTCTGCTGTCTATAAGCTATTTTTTTTTCATCCTGGGGACCACAGAAACAGTTGGAAATGTATTGCAATGTCTATTTACAAATTTTGCTAACAGGATGTTGTAAAAAGCAAGGTACAAATATGAAAGATTATGCACAGAGTTTACTTCCATTCTCCTTCAGTCTCTTTTTCTTTACGCAATAATTCACATGCAATACATGTGACTTCTTTATTACTATGGCTACTCTGATATACCCCCATCTAGCTGTCAAAACTTACTTAGGTCTACTTAGCAAATGTAAATAAAAATAAAACTGCCAAATAAAAATTGCTGTGGTACACCCTGCTGGCCATGTACATGAAGAACCTTGTTTTCTGTAACCTTTTCTACTTGCTCTGGGCAGATTTCAATTTTTCTCTGCAATAATGCTTCAGTGGTTTGCAGCCTTGTTCCTCCTTCTGACCAGCCTTCTCCTACAATCCCTTCTTGATTTGAAACATCATCCATGGGTCACCCCTAGTGCCAGATAGGAGGATTAGCATTTCTTTAATCCTATTAAATTTACTATCAATAGGTTATTTTCACAGAGGTGTCTTTTGCTAAATCTTTTCCTGTTGCATATTTAAAGTTATTCCTTGGCTGTTTGCTTACTGTGCTGCCTGGTGGGTGGGCACTCTTCTCAGAGGTAGGAGAAGACTGATCAAACATGATTTCAGCCTGATTTGGAACAGTTACAGGAACCACAATCTCTGACCTTCCAGAACGATACTGTCTGCATCCAACTGCAGAAGCCAATCTCTTTTAAATACTCCTAATCAAATAGAGGTGCATCAGCAGGACTGAGACCAACCTCTGCTCAGCTCAACTAATAGTCTGGCAATTCAGGCAAGAGGAGTGGAAAGGTTAAAGAGGTGTGTGGACAGTCTGTGCCCTTTTAGGGTGACTGCTTTAATCAGCTCATGCTTAATTAGTTCCTGTTTGAACATTAAAAACCCATTATTTGCCTAAAAGAAATTCATGCTTTTTCAAATGTCATTAAAATAAAAAAAATATATTGACTTGATTTAAATTTATTTTTATTAATAAATATACCAAATAAATATATTCACTAGTCCTTCCTGCAGTATTTCTTATTCCCCTACAGCAAATTCCCACACTACCCAAAAAGCCAATAGTATCTATACAGACAAATAAACCTTTCCACCAGCAGTTTCAATACATACCTGTGTATCGATTGCATATCTGTAATGTGCATGACTTACACCTGGAGCAGATGGGGGCCATTACTTCTTTCCATAATTCTTCCTTTTGGTTTCATCCCAGAGGTAATGCAGCTAATTTCTTTCTCAAATCTGAAAGCAACCTGCAGCCATTATATCTTTTCCTTTGGCATCCAGTCTAATCTGACTAATGACTGAGATGTTCAGACCAGAGACTTTTGCTTGGCTTGTATTACAACTAATATATCCAATATCCTGGAGTTTTGCTTGTTTCTTGAGACTATTTTATTAGTCAGTAAACACACTGATTGTAAAACAAGCAAGGTATCAGCCAATATGAACTTTTTTGCACTTATCTATCAGAACAGCTAGCTCAATTGTAAGTCAATTTATTTTCCCACACTCCTGCTAAAATGTGGCAAGATACGATGACAGGATGCATTCTAAAATTAGAATTTTTAATTCAGAAATAATATGCTTTCCTCCAAACCCCAGTTTAGCACACTAAAGGATTCTGTGATAGCTAGCAATCTGTTATAGCAAGATACGATGACAGGATGCATTCTAAAATTAGAATTTTTAATTCAGAAATAATATGCTTTCCTCCAAACCCCAGTTTAGCACACTAAAGGATTCTGTGATAGCTAGCAATCTGTTATAAGTGAAAGGCAGAGCATGAAAAAAAAAAAAGCAGAGCAAAAATTAAAAGAAAACCAAACTCCTCTTTCACCCACTAATATATGAGATTATACAAGATACTGAGGGAAGAGTTTGCTATTGATGGGAAAATGAAGTGCTATCAGTTTCTAAAGTTGAAAGAAATGAAGAAGAAATATGAAACATCAAATTGTGAAAAGACTCTTTCAGCATGTTTGGGGCCAGGGATTGTATTCAATTCTATGTGTTCCATTTGTTTCTTAGTTTTCTGCTCTCTTTTCTTTCTGGCTCAGATCTCCTCTGTTTGTGGCTCAGGACATTAATCATTACAGTTCTAAACCAAAGATTTTAGCTAGATCTGCACAAAACTTTTGTAATGAAACTGAAGAAATTTTTTGGGGTTTTAATCCTGCAAGCAGGAAAAAGAAATTCGAAAGTAACAGAAAAAGACTGGCAAAAGAAAAGTGAGCTATAGGCTTCATTTCTGATTTTAACAGAAGATTTCTAAGGGTTCAGATATGTGTTCATTTAGAAAATGGCTAAAATTATTTCTGATGCTACTCTTTCATACTGTTTGTTACCACTTTCTGTTGGAAATTACTGCCCTTACGGCAAGAGAGAGCAGAGGCTGGAACACAGGAGTATGCCCTTTCCCAGTCAGCGCAGAGCCAGCCAATTTGATCTGTAGCCACCAATAAATTGCCATGTGAGCCAGCTGAAATGGAGTTGTCTTAACCTCCAGTTGTAGGGTCATAACCTTCCATTCTCAGGCAGTGTCATTTTAACCTCTCCAGAAAAAGATATTTGCTCACATCCTCATTCACACCAATTTCATAACAGCTAACGTGGAAAGTCATGAGGCTGTGCTGGGCCTGCTGACACGTCCAGATACTGCATTGAGCTATCACACTGCAAGAAGCCATATCTCAGAAAAGAAAACCCTAAACAGTCATAAAATGAGGAATAACTCCATTGGAAACAGTGACCAAACAAAAAGTGACAGGTTTTGGCAGAGTTCTGGCTTTCTGCAGCTGGTAGCATTGTTCTGAGTCAGAACTATGTTCTTGGAAAATTATCTGACATTACAATTACAATGAAGTTTTCCTGGTGAACATTGTAAAACATAATTGGAGTGTAAGCTTCATCACTCCACATTTGTATCACAGAAGAACATCGTGAAAGCAAAAGTTCATTCTGATTCAGACTGTATTGATAATTATTTAGACAGACTACTTCACAGGGCATATAAACTCACAGGTAAGAAACAAACTCTGCATTTCTTTAAGTTTACATCTCCTCTTATAGTTCAAATACCATTGGTAGCAAGTGACAGGTGAATTTCAGAAAAAATATTAAGAAATCCAAATAAAATAAAGATTGTGTCCTGCCAGGTATAGGAAAATGGACTCAGAAGACTATACACTTTTGACCTCTTGTCAGAGGTCTACAGCACAGACATTAAAATATGGGTTGATTGTCCAGACTTCTCTTATTGTCATGTTGACAAGCTGCCTGGCTGCCTGGCTCCAACCCAGACACTTTCTTGTTTCCTCTCCTCAACAGGATAGGGGGAGAAAATAAGGCAGAAAAGCTTGTGGGTTGAGAGAAAGACAGGGTGATACCTTACCAATTATCATCATGGGCAAAACTGACACAAGTTGGTGAAAATTAATTAAATTCATTACTAATTAAAATAGAGTTGGACGGTGAGAAACAAAGGTAAATTAAAATAATATCACCACCCTTTTTCCCAGGCTCAATTTCACTCCTTCATCCCCAACTCCTCTACCTCATCCTGCCCTCTGCAGGGAGATGGGGAATGGGGGTCTGTGATTGGTTCATGCTCCTCTCTGCTGTTCCTTCATCTTCACACTTTTCCCCTGCTCCAGGGTGGATCCTTTCCATGGGCTGTAGCTCTTCAAGGTAAACCCACTGTAACATGGGGACTTCCACAGGCTGCAGGGAAATCCCTGTCCCACCAGAGTCTCTCCAGAGGTCACAGGGGAACCTCTGCTCCTATGCTTGGAGCACCTCCTCCCCTCCTCCTCCTGCTCTCCCCTCAGGGCTCATAGCTGTTTCTTACACTTTTTCCCTCACTTCTCACTGGCAGGCAGTGTTTTGCCCTTTCTCAAAAATTGCCCCTCTTTCTGTGGGACACCACCATCTTCACTGATGGGCTCAGCTGTTCTCTGAGGTGGGGCCGTGTTAGAGCCAGCTGGCTGCCCTCGTTTCCCTTGTCACAGAGACCATCCCAGCAGCTACCCTCTCCTCCTCCCTCACCCTTTTGTCCTCTCCCACCCTCACCAACACCTGGACAGCTACACTCAATACAAATCAGTAGAGACAGACATAGGCTTTAAGGTGAACATTTACCATGTTCATTAACAAGTCTGTATTTGGATGAGACTAATTGCACTGAAGAGGAATGTATTTCTCTTCACTGCCTTTACGGAGAGATTAGAAAATTTGATCAAATGTAGAATTTCACGTAGTGGTTATCCAAAGCTAGATGAGGAGACTGCCATTGAATAAGACCAAAATAAATTAAACATCTCTGTACAAACATTCTTGAAGATGAAAATCAATCAAACTCACCTTCCTGGGAGCTGATGATAATGCTTGTAAACACTATTTAAAAAAGAAAATAAAAATAATTGATATAAACAGTTGACTTTTGTTCCAAGAAAAAGACTAAACCAGCTTAATTTTTTTTTTGGTAATATATTTCATTCAGATGTTAATTTTGTATATTAAAAGCTATAGTGCATTTTAGTATTTTATTTCTTGTATCTTCTGACAACTGAAAAAGCACTGTGTTTTTAAGACATAATATCTGATTGTTTCAAAGAACTTTTTATTAAAATTCCCACTTCAAGGAAAATTTTAGAAAAGTTAGTATTCTGTTCTGATATAGGCTGCTCCCCCAACATCCCCACAAAAACAAGCATACCCAGCTTGCTTAACTCCAGTTATAAAGTGTAACATATGAAAAGAAGGTTGAGAAACAATAAAAATAGTTTGACAGATCTGAAAACTCATTTGTTGTTGTTCCCAAGCATACTTGAGCACATTCACTAGTTATTCATCTGTAGACACGAGAACACATTTGAACATATATAAAAATAATTTAATCATATTTTAAAAGAATATTTTATCACACATAATGTATGCTTTGCTGTTTTTCAAACAATGTGTAAAATGTTGTTATTTACAGATTGCCTATGTTATATCATTTCACACTCTTCTCTTTATATTCCTATTTGTTAATGTCTGTTAATAGAACCAGCAGTCCTACCTGGAATAGTTTGACTGAAGCCTCAGCTGATGTCAGCCAAGTTGAGCTACATAGTGGACAAATCTTAAATAAATAATAACTTGCTGTGTTTAAAAAATAATGAATTTTAATGATTATTCTAATAAAGCTATGTACAGCTAATTGACTTAATTTATCTGAAATCTAAACCAATTATAAAGTTTGAGGGAACTAATAAGTTTAAGGAAAAAAAACAAACCAAAAAACCCCAAAGAAACAACAATAGGGGATGATCCATTTGAGCAATTTATCCTCAGAAATAGTTTAAGCTATATTTTTGTGCAATTCCAGTGTTTAAAAGTTCCCTTGTTTACATTCAGACATTAACACTCTGTAACAAGTATCCAGGGAATAGGATAATATTCCTCAACAGTCACACACACACACTTTCTTTCTCAGATATACCAGCCTTTTTACACTTTCCAGGCTGATCTAGCATTAAGTAAATGTCATGTCAGCTATGTCAAAGAGCTCTGCTTTTACTGCAAGTGACATTGCCATTTATGCCCAAAGGTTAAAGGAGAAAAAGAAGAAAAAAAAACGGTGCAAGTTTTGACAAAACAGCAAAAATGTTAGTATCATCCTGTTCCAGTAACATTGATTTGAAGTAGTCTTAAAGTGTGGATGTGCTAGTTGTCCTATAACACTGGGACAAAAGAACTAAGACAACACCAAGAGCTTTAGTGTATTTTGGGCAGCACTGAGCTTTAAGTGGAAGCTGGTATGGCATGATTAGCCTCCCTTCCATCTGATATTGGAAGGAGAAAATGTAGAGACTGGAAGGTCATAAAGATTTCACTTTTTGCAAAACATGTCTAATATCAAGATGTGCAAAAGATGAAAATGTGGGTCCTCACCTTCACCTTCTCTCCTTTTGATGATTTGGGCTTTTTTCATTCTGTTGAACTTCAGATATCCAAAGATTTTCCTTAATCAGAAGAAGGGCTTATAAATTGTATTCCAGTGTTCCAACTACAAAGTAGGTTTGTCATTTTAGAAGATGCTTACACAAAAGTGTGTTTGCTGTCATCTCAACTCTGTTCACCATGCCCCTACTATTAAAACCCTTTTTCATATATGTCTGTTTTACTGATGCATTTATTGTTTTCCATATGCATAGATCTGCAGAGCAGATACTGTTTTCATTTTGTGTCTTCTTCAGTGTTACAACACTTTTTATCCATTTGCAAATATTGTCATTAAGGATTAATTCTATGCCATTGAAAACTAAGCAACCTGGTGAAATAATTTGAAGAAACTCTTCAGTGCAAAGTTATTGACTATAGACTATCCAGATGGCAGTCTGTTTATATGCTTAAAACCAGGAACTAATTCTTGCTGTTACTGTTTTCCAATGTGAAAACAGATGCTATTCATACTCATACAAACACAAAATGCTTGGCAAAGCCCAATTATTTCATTAATAGCGCTATCAGCAGTGAATTTTCATTGTTATTTGTTGAATACATGAATGTACCTCTCTTTTTACCTTTATAGCCTGTCAATTTTTCACAAAAGCTTCTTTTTATAAATTTCTTATTTCTTCCTCTTCTGTAAATATTTTTTTATAACTAAACATATTGTGTATGGTTAATCAAAATATATATTGATTGGAGTGGGTAAAATCTAGTGCATTTATATAACAAACACGTATTTATGGGGTGTACGGTTTTGCATTATCTGTATGAAAGTGCCTGACCTGGCATCAACACTGTGCACATCCATTCCCTCAGCATACCTAATCTCTGACTCAGCTTGATACAATTTCTCTTAGTTGCTGGTACCATACGAAAGAATTGCTTCTTGCAAGTCAGTTTAACAGCTATTAGGTAAACTAAACTCTCTCTATTTTTGTGTTTCAGACAAAACTAATTACAGGATTTCATCACTTGTTACAGGTTAACTTGTTTTATTTCCTTAAATCATTCAACAATTTCCTTGTGAGCAGATTGTAAATAATCATGACAACCATTACAGAAACACCTTCCTTTAATATTTGACATAAATAGGATACTTAAACAGTTCCTGCTGCAGGTAAGTGATGCTTTATATAAACACACACAGACAAAGCTACCACTCTGTTTTTTGCTTTCTGATGCACAAGGATATCTGGTACATTTTCCTGTCTGGTAGTTTATTTAGTGCCAGGATTCCTCTCTCTGGGCCCTGTCTGCAAATCTTTTCTTAAGGAAGATTCGCTCCTCATCTGTGGTTCTGGAGTGCTATGAAAATCTCATATGCCTTTTGGTCAGATGAAGTATGTTGCAGTTGACTTCAGTTAAGTAAAACTTCCATCTGATTTCAGGCATATACGTAGCTTCTTAGGGACCTACAGAACACCCCTTTTACCCTTTATTAGCAAGATAACTAAGAACATGGTGAATCAATCTGAGTCGGTTATATCATATCAGAGATATGAAGAAGGTTAAGCTTTTTTTTTTCTTCTTGTTTTTTTCTTTTCTGAGGTGACTCCATGTGCAGATTGTTGGAGTTATTAAAAAAAAAAATTAAAAAAAATAAAATTCAGAGGTATGTGAAGTTAAGGATCTTATCGTTCAAGCACAGAGGACCAGAAATAGAACTAGAGAGGGAAAAAGCTTGCAATGAAATAAAGAGCAAGAGAAAGGACATTTGGCAATAAAAGAAGAAATAGGAGATTATATTTTAAAATATAAATATATTCACATTTAATGATCAAGGCCATATTGCCCCAAAATCGAATTGTATCAAAAATAGGACAGGTGTTCTTATATTTTAAATTATGTACGTATATGAAGAAGTTAAAAGATAAGGTCTAACTGTACATTATTATTCTTCTAAATTGGACTTTTTTTTACATACATTTCCTTGTATGTAGCGTCTACTGTGCAACTAAGACAAAATACAAATTACATGGCAAATTACAAACAAGGAAATTTTTCCATGCATACTTAATGAATTTAAACGAATAATATGACTCATTAGTGCCAACTATTATTTCATAAATTTGAAATAGCTCTTTGAAGTTTTTCTAAAGACTGTAAAGAGCAATAATGGTCCAAAAGTGATAGCCAATATATAACAAGGAAACAGATTAACCATTTGTGATTAGACAAGAGGACTGAATATCTTTGAAAATCACAGAATTGCAGAATCACAGAATCACCATGGTTGGAAGGGACCTCTGAGATCATCGAGTCCAACTTTACCAAAAAAAACAAAAACAAAAAAACAACAAACACACCAACAACAAAACAAAAAACACAACACCCCACCTCATCACACCCACCCACAAAGCAATAATCTTGGGCACTAGAGCATGCCCTGAAGAGTCATGTCTACACGTTCCTTAAATACCTCCAGGGATGGTGACTTCACCACCTCCCTGGGCAGACTGTACCAGTGACTGACCACCCTCTTAGTAAAGTAATTCTTCCTAATATCTAATCTAAGCTTTCCCTGACGCAACTTCAGACCATTCCCTCTGGTCCTGTCATTATTCACTTGGGAGAAGAGGCCAACACCCACTTCTCTACAACCTCCTTTCAGGTAGTCGTGGAGGGTAATTAGGTTTCCCCTCAGCCTCCAGCCTCCTCATCTCCAAACTAAACATGCCCCATTCCCTCAATCTCTCCTCGTATGATTTGTTCTCTAGACCCCTCGCCAGCTTGGTGGCTCTCCTCTGGACACCCTCCAGCACTTCAATGTCCTTCCTGTAGTGAGGGGCTCAGAACTGAACACAGTACTCAAGGTGAGGCCTCACCAGTGTCAAGTACAGAGGCACGGTGACTTCCCTACTCCTGCTGGCCACACTATTCCTGATACAGGCCAGGATGCCATTAGCCTTCTTGGCCACCTGGGCACACTGCTGGCTCATGTTAAGCCACCAACACGGCTGTCCACCAGCACTCCTAGGTCTTTTTCTGCCGGGCAGCTCTCCAGCCACTCTTCCCCAAGCCTGTAACATTGCCTGGGGTTGTTGTGACCGAAATGCAGGACCCGGCACCTGGCCTTATTGAACCTCATCCCATTGGCCTTCGCCCATTGATCCAGTCTGTCCAGACCCTCTGTAGAGCCTTCTGACCCTCAAGCAGATCAACACTCCCACCTAGTTTGGTGCCATCTGCGAACTTACTGAGGGTGCACTCAATCCCCTTATCTAGATCATCAATGAAGATATTAAACAAGACTGGACCCAAAACTGAGCCCTGAGGGACACCACAGGTGACTGGTTGCCAACTGGATTTTGCCCCAGTTGTTCACTTTCACATTCTATAATGGAGAAATGTTTAAGTTCTGCAATGTTTCAGCCAGGTTTGGAGCAGTGCCACCATAAAAAGCCATAAATTAAACTATTTTACAGCAAGGAATCATCCTCTTCTGAAGATCATAGCCCTACTTCATATCCAATCCTATCTCTGACACAAGGACAATTTTTTTCCTTTCTGTAGTTTTTATTTATTCATCTCTTTGAGAGGTCATAGTTTCAAGGCTTCACTATTTCTGAAATTATAGGAGGAGAATGTAAATAAACCTCTTGTGAATTTAAGTTCCCTTGCTCTGGTACATAAATTTTAGTGGTCAAGAAAATGTGACAAATAAGAGTAGCTAAACCCAAGTGTTTTACATGATTGTCCTTTACAGTTCAACCAAAATGCTTCAGTGCTAGCCAATAATACTCTTTTCTCTAATGTAATAATGAATGTATCACTCCCTGTGGAGCTACTCATACAGTACGTTGTTCTTTTCTAAGAACAAAAGGAAGTTGCTTAGAAACCTTTAATCTTACTTCATGAGATAACAAACTACGTATTGAGTCCTGATGATCTTCAGAAGTGAAAGCTAATGTATTGAGGCAATACAGCATTCCAATATGCAGAGTACCAGTTTATGATAATTACTTTTACATCTGCATTTAGAGTACCACATGTCATTACTGAAGTGTGTACTTTTCTCTCAGCAATGGCATGCAATTTCCATTAGTGGTCTTGGCAGTCATGCACATGCATTACAAGACCTCTAAGTAATCTGTAGCCCCTTGTAATTAAATGCAAAAAGAATTACAGCCAGTAGAACACAGTGAATAATTCACAACCAATAACTTCCTGATGAATTCAAAGTACTTTTATGTACCAAAACACAACCAGGTATTCTATCTTTTCTTATGTATTAAGTTACTCATTTATTATTTTCTTCATTTGCAGTCCTTTTTCAACTTTTTTGCAAAATATTTCCAAGTTGTTATTAGAACAATATGGATAGTTTACATAATTTCTCACTAAAATTTTGTATTAGAGATTTGAAGAAAGATAGTGAAACTTTGAAATTTGAAGCTTTTCTCTATGCAAAGCCACCTGTTTGAAATATTCTTTCTGCAATTAAAGATGAAATCACTTCATTCAAAACTTTCATATCTTAAAACAGTTTTCACTAGAACTACTCGAAACACATATCTTCCATCCAGCAGGAAAGTCTCATAGTTCGAAATTCAAATGGTATACAAATGGAAGTAGCCTCCTATGTCTTAGAATCACTTCTTTCATATTGAGGGTTATCATGTTACCTCTTTAATACCTTACCTGGTACCTTCTTGAACACATGTTACTTTCCTCACTACAATTTTCTCACAAATATTTTTCCACAGGCTCAGTACGCAAGCACGTTTGCTCTTCTGTCAATTGAGTCTTTTACTCAAATAGCTCTTCTCTTTCTTAGATGATCATACACCTGAGGCATTTGGAGAAAGAGGTCATTTTTCTTTCAGAATTTATTTTTTTAGGTTTAAATAAAGAAAAAACCCAAACCCTACCTGTCTCATTTAATTTAGAAGATTCATATTTTATCTAACTGGCTATTTCCCTATGTGTGTTATATCCTTTTTCTATATGTCTTTTATTCTGCATTCATTTTTTGCTTCTCTCAAATATGAGAGATTGGAATTTCCCATTGTATTACAAATGACATTTTATGTATGTCCAAAACAACAATAAACTGTCAACTATAAAACACCATGGAAGAAAATACTTCATAAAATTCATTTTGGAGTAGTTACAACAGTACATCACAATAACTCCTCTACAGAAGCAGACCATGGTACTGAATTCTGTCAAGAAATTTCATTAGCAGAAAGGAACAGGGGATGGTAAGAACCTGAATAACAGTTCCAGCCAAATGCTGCAATGGCGTAGGGAATCTCAGAGACAAAAAAATTCTTAGTCCTTCAGGAGACTACAAAGCAATTTACAGAGTAGAAAAATCCAATTACCCCCATTTAAAACAGGTGTGGTGAAGTGAAATGACTTAACAGAGATAAAAGGAGGTCCAGGAACCCATATTTTTCAGTCCAGGATTGTGTTTTATGCACAGTACATTTAATCTGGATTTTCCAAAGAGAAAATTTCAATCAATGGTTTTCACAGAAAATTTTTATTTTTATTTTACTTTCTAGAATGACATTACCACTAATAAATACAATTTGAAGTGTATTAAATAAAAATTAAATTACATGTATATTTAGAATTCTGTAATATTCATGTGCCACAAGATTATTAGAATAATTTCTGAAAATCAACCAAATCCCCCTCTTTTTGTTACAGGTTGTTGTAATATTACTATCCATATTTATTAAGATCAGTAATAACTAAACTGACATTAGCAGACATATTATTGACTGCTATTAATACATTTACTTGTTCCAACTCCATTATCCCTGTTGTAGAAACAATGGCTCAAAATAATGAAAATGAGGGTTAGAAAAACAACGAAAGCTTTCTGAGTTCTTTTTACTTTTGTTTTAATAGAAATTACATCTGCCTACATGCCTACAGAATGCATTGGTTTTTTGGTTTTTTTTTTTTAATATGAAGCTGTTCATTCCAGGAAATGTTTGGCTTAAAAAGACTCTGACTGGAATCTTTTCTAGAAAGGATCTCTTTATTTGTCTAATCAAAATCAAATAGGAATTTTAAATTTATTTCATCTTGTATAGTTTTTAATGTAAAATCATCAAAACATTCTTTTCACCGTCACTGTTTTGTAAGAATCACTTGTTTAATATTTGCTGAATTTTTCTTTTATTATTCACAAGTCCTCCCATTGAAAATGTATTTATTATGTGGTTCAAAAAAAAATAATAATTTGGGACTTTTTGTGAACATTTTCATCCAAACATTTACTAACTAAAATGTTACACAACTGATCATTTAAGTTACTTGATATTGCTTCTGTTGTGTGGTAAATAAAAGTGAAATTATGTAAGCCATGATACAGGAATGCATCAATAATGTGTCTTATGTTCATGGTATTTCATAAACAACTTTGCTTTTATAAGATCAAAAAATCACAAACAATAAAGTGAAGGAGTTCTTTTCCATCAGCTGAGACATTTTTAATATGTCTGGTGTAACTGTCAAATTAAACAGAACTCACAGATTAGGTGTATGATTACACACTAACTGAAGGAAACAGAAGACATGTTTATCCTTAAGTATGAGTAATTCCTTTTAAAATCTTATTTTAGTTCAAGTGAAAAGAAATCAAAAGTGCTTTGATAGAGCAAGATTTTCTCCTATACCCATGATGCAAACTCTCGATCCAGCATTTAAAGTTACACAGAGAGGCTATTATTTTCAAGGTCTTTCTTGTTTCATTTTCCCCTTTTCCCTTTTTCTTTTGTTCATTCAGTATGTCTGAAACCAGCCTTGGGAGTCTTTCTAATTTATAATTAATTTCTATTATTAGCAAGTCATTTCAACTTGTCTGGAAATTGGAATTTGATTCTACATTCTCTGAACCCAACTCCTGGGGTAAGGACTCCCTTTCTCATGTCCCCCAAACATCACAGGCAAGGTAGCATCAAAAGAACCATTATTTCCCTCATTTCCCTCATTTTAGGAGTCCATTTCCCTCATTTTAGGAGGCCACAGACAGGGAGATAAAGAAGGTGGGAGTCAGGAAGGAAGGCAGGAATTCTACAGAGGCAAGGATTGTTCTGCTTTAAGACACAGATATAAAGCATTAAGATTAAATTCTAGGAAAGTCTACTGTTTGTTGCAATGACAAAAGAGTAAATTTATTTTAAACCTTTTCCACAAAGATCCTTTGTGAAATACCTTTTGAATTATCCTATTCCTTAGTCCCTCTACCTATCTTTAATTTTATGTACCATTTGTACATACACAAATGCATAATTAAAGATCAAATGTAGTTGTACACAATTATGTACAAGACTATTTTATTTACACATATTAAACTATATAATCAATGCTTAAAAGAAACATGTTGACATACCTATAAAAACATCCAGAACTCCCAGTGTGTCTTCTACTCACTTATATTCTTTGCTGCAGAAAATGATGAAGCATGCAAGTTAGGTATTATTAATGCACACCACAGTATTCCAGGCCATTTCAACCGCTGAGTATATCTAAATAAACTGAATTATTTCTTGACTTCAATTGCTCTCCGAGCAGAGATGAAGATGTTATGTAAATTCTATATGCAACGAATAACGAAATGTACATGTATATTGTACACATTCTACCTCTTATGTATAATATTTCCCAGGCCAACGACACAACAAACATGGTCCTATTCATTTTAAGGCACCAAAATATTGACGTATCTATTCTGTAAAACCAAAACACCCCACGTACATGGCTAATGCATATCGTTAATTGCTCTGATAAACTATAAAAAAAAAAATAAAAGGATTAGACTACTTTGCTTCTTTTGACACAAGTGTAAGTAATTACACATTGCTTTTGGACCTCTACAGGGGTCAAATTTCCCCACTGGTTGTGCACTGCATTATTATTTAGAAAAAAATGTCTTCAATGTTATTGTAAAGTTTACAAAATAAATTTAAAATAAGCAAACTATTTTCCTGCTTTGAATACCTGTAACAAACTGTTTTCAATAAACTTAGTAAATGATACATGGAAATTTCATCACCTTCATTAAACTTGTTGGTGAAATAGTAGTGAAAAAGCAATTATTTTGAAGAATTCATAAAAAAATAAATCTATAATAAATTATTATCTTTGGGGAAAAAAAAAAAGATGTCATGATTAATCAGTTATTTGATTACAAGACAGACTAATTATATTAATAAGATGTCTAGTGGAAACCCATTAGTAACTGGATAAATCTATTGCCATTGGGGAATTTATCAGTTGCAAGTACATAAATGTATATTGAATTCTCTTTATCTTTGGCAAGACGGTTTAAATAATTAGGATCGTGAAGATGAACATTTTAGATTTTCTAAATGACAAATTAGATGGCAAAAAGATTACCTGCAGCAAATAAAGATTGTAATAATATAAGAAATTGCAAGGCAAATTTTGCTAGTTCAGAAGGCAGACTGCATCCTCAGTAACCCATTCAAAAAAATAAGTGCATGCTGTCTAGATATACGTAGAGATAACTCTAACATTTGAACAGGTACATATTTGGAATTCTCTGACAAAAAATGTGGTTTTTGCTCTCTTACCTGGAATTACTATTTGCTTCCAAAAACAAACTTAACCAAAGTTAACAGAGTCTCATTGGCTTTGGATCAGGCTTCAGGGAGTGTTATTTTCTTGAATCTCAATGCAAAGCATACATCTTATGTACAAACCTTCACCTGCCCTCAAGGGTGGTACACTTCATTTCAGGCCTTGGTTTAACTGCAAAAAAATCATTTACTAAAATTGAAGTAAAGCTTGAGCCAACAATACATGTGGAAACAACAGTACGATGTATTGCACAGCACTTTCTCAAATTATTCTTTCTGGCATTGTCCATGGCTATCACCGTTTATGCATTATATCTTGTTTGATTTGACTTTTTTTTTTTTGGTAATACCTAGCTGTGCCACTAATAGGGAAATACCGCACAAGACTTTGGGAATCACTAAAATATAAATAACAATTTTCTCAGAGAGGGCATATAGTAATTCTGTAAACTTGTCCGGATGAAAAAAATATTTGCTTTGGATTGCTGCTTGAAGACTGACAATGGTGAATCCTTCTCTGCAAGCTGACAAAGTTTGGATTAGAAATAATGTTTCCCTAAACCTTTTTTCCAGCTCTATTCAAACATGGAAGTGTGAAAGTACGGAGAGGATTGTCCTAAAATAGTTTCAAATCTCTGTTACTCAGCACTATTCCCACTACTACAGTGCAAATAAGTGTGATAGCATTAGTGTAATAATTTACTCTATTGGGACATCCCAAATCTTTACAAAAGCATTATCTGCTTTGGAAGCATGTGATGGCAATGTTTTTAAAGATGAGGTTAGAACTGATCATGTAAAAGGCCCAAAGGAATTTTAAGATCAACCATAGACTGTGTTGTCATGGTTTAACCCCAGTCGGTAGATAGGACCATGCAGGTGCTTGCTCATTACCCCTGGTTGGTACTGGAGAGAGAAGAGGAAAAGTAAAAGTGGGGAAACTTGTGGATTGATATAAAGGCAGTCTAATAAGTAAAGCAAAAGCAGTACATGCAAGCAAAGCAAAACAAGAAATTAATTCACCGCTTCCCATCGGCAGGCAAGTGTTCAGCCATCTCCATGAAAGCAGCACTCCATCATACGTAGTGATTACTCAGGAGGACAAACGCCATCATTCTGAATGTCCCCCCTCTTCCTTCTTTTTCCCCCAGCTTTATATACTGAGCATGACATCATACAACATGCAAAATCCCTTTGGTCAGTTGGGATCAGCTGTCACGACTGTGTTTCCTCCCAGCTTCTTGTGCACCCCCAGCCTGCTCACTGACGGGGCAGCGAGAGGAGCAGAAAAGGCTTTGACTGCTTAGCAGCAACTAAAAACACCAGTGCACTGTCACACGATTCCAATCCCAAATCAGAAACATAGCACCACACCGCCTGCTAGCAAAAAAGTTAACTCCATCCCAGCTGAAAACACAAGTATCTAAATAAAATTTCTATATGCTACAGTGCAGAATCCCATTTAACAGCATGCTGATTCCCTTGCAATTCTAACATTATGCATTTTCAGGTGTCACAGTGAAATGTAATGCACGCATCATGAAATTTTCAAAAGTGCCTCTGGTTTAGGAGACAGTAAAAACTTACCTTCCTATGTTCCTAAATTCCAGATTCATTGAGATCTATGCTTATCAATGTTTAGTAAAAGACAGAATTAAGAGTTAAATGTGTATTATTGCTATGTATTTGGGCTGAAATAAGTTAACCTAGAAAAATCTGTTCATGGAAATATTTATCATATTATTTCTTCTTCCTATTCTGAGTAAGTTAAAGTATATCTGATTCTTGTGTTCTTATGAATTCTCATTGTGCAAACAGGAACTTTATTTCAGCTGGCAATCTGGAAAACCTGATTTTAATATGAGTATTCACACTGTCTGATACAAAGTGTTTGATAGCCATACCATTTAAATATTTATGTGGACTGTTAAATAGTGCATGGAAAAAAGTGAAAATACGTCTAATGTTATTTGCTTTTCACACTACAAAATATTTGACACTACTCTTTTCCATTCCAATAAAAAATTGGTTATGGAAACACAGTGGCATTTGATAGGGTGCATGAAGAACCAGAACCTGGTTAGATATTTATTGTAGTTTTCTTACCCTAGTATTTATGCCAGAAGAAAAATAGATTTCATAGTACAATCATTTCAATTTGCTCAAATACAGTAGACTTACATAAGATACATTCTTAGGTATCATTATTCTCCCTAGATATCAGTTTATTTTTTGCTTCACTTCACAGAAATCAATGTCGCTAATTTTACAGAGTAATTCACCCACATGTGTTCTTTGTCAGATAAGGTTAGTTTGTAGCTGGAGATTAAGCTAAATTTATAAAATATGTTCAATTCATGGCCACTGAAGTATTTGTGAAAAGAGTTGTATTGTCATATGCATATTAAAAAAATGTACTTTAAGTGCCACATTGATAAGTTTCTGATTACAAGAATCAAGCTATTTTGGAGGCCTGTGAAAACAGTCAATAGATTTGCTTAGAACAGAAAAGTTAGTAAATCTAAGTCATTCTGATCATCCTTAAATCTAACAAGCTTTGAGTTTTTTAGCTAGTAATGTTTGTTATCAGGCCTGCCAAACACTGCAGCTTTTAAAAGCCTGTAGAAAATACGAAAGGAATAAATAAGAACTCTGCATAAAAGCAGGAAAATTTTCAAAAAGGTACACTTTGCAGAGTTTTTGCATGCAACTTCCCTGCTGTTCTTACTAGCATTCCTGTGCATAAATCCCCATTCCCTGCCTGTGAGTACTGCTATAGAGACAATTCATCCAAAGCCAGTGTGGATTCTTCTGAAAAGTGACTCTCTTCTACAGCCTCAAGCTGCAGACACTGTGAAAGTATCAGCATGCAAGTCTTTGTTTCCTTTTCTCTGAAATAAAGAAATGTCACTGAAACCCAGAAATAATACTGTCACATGAGATCACTGCCCAACTTTAAAGCCATGAATTCTGCTCTCTAAATCTGAACATCAATTTGACCAACAACTCCAGGATATTTTTATTTCACACCCATGTGGTACTTTTCAGGACGTCAATGAGCCTTCCTGAGCTGATTAATATTTTAGTGTTGAGAGTGAATTTATTTTCCTGGACTTAACAACTCCAGCTGCCTGCCACTGGCAATAGATATGGATGACCGTCATTCAACTAATTAACCAAATGCAGACTTGTTTCTATGTCATTAATGAATCTTGCATTCTAAGATGAAAGTAAAATTAATCTTCTTGGATTAACTGATTTTACTAAGGAGTCTAACTAGCAGGTGGAGATATGCTGTAGGTTGCATCATGATTTACTGCAAAATCTCAAAGAACTCTAGGAAACATCTAGACTTATTCATGATGTACAAAAGATGTTCAGATGATAATTAAAAATCCTTTGCATCATAGTGAAGTATGAACAGAGCCATAGCTGAGCAGGAAGGACAGAATACTGACAGGTTTTTTGTGTATTCTTTCCTAAGATCCCAGGTTAGCAGGACCCTTCAAGTACATGCTTAACTCCGTATGCATGACTAAATAGCAGAGATTTCTGTGGACTTGAGAGACTTACTTACCTACTTTTCCAAAAGGAAGGGGCTTAAGCTAATGCTTAAAAGTTGAACTCATCTTGAAGTGCTTTGGTTAATACAAGCCCGGGCCAGGATTTTACAGAGAAGTTAACCATCATGTTGATGCTCTTTGTTCAGTCTTCAAAACTCTTGTCCTGTAGATTTGAGTAACAAAATAATGCAATCCCTTGTTTCTGTATTCATTTTCTGTATACTAATACAGGCAGTCAGCAAGTGGTGTTTATATATGGATGTAAACAGTTACAGTGAGATGGTAGCTAGAAAATTTGTGTGTGTAGCACATATGTATACCTTGCACATGCCTTTATTGATTGACAAATTCTTTCTCTCTAACCTTCTGGGAAAAGCAGTAAGGAAACAATAGAATTAATAATAGCTAAAATTAATGCAATAAAGTGATTGCCTTTGAGATATGAATTAGTCCAGGGATGCATTTTTTCATGTTAATAAATTGACCAGTGCTCTTTGGCATCAATGTTTAATTAAAATGCCACATGGAAAAGAAAAACCCAAGGTAAAATATTCAAACTTCACTGGTCATTCTTATGTATTAGTTAATTTCCAGTGTAAAAGAGAACATACTTCAGACTTCAGAGTCCATCAGGGCTATATAGATCTTATCAGCTTTCTAGAAATTGAGAGGAGGTCCTGCTAGCAGTAGTGATTTGATAGGTAGACAATTAAAACAGAGCTGATTGCAGCTGAAATAAGAAATCAGCAGAAAAATGGGCTTACGCGCGTGGACAGAATGTTAAAAAAATAACAGTTCCTCCGTAAAAGGCACTGCATTTGGTCAGTTTCTAGGGTCTGCCCTTGTCTTTTTAAATTAAATGAAAAAGTCTAGTACAGCTTGAGATCACTAAGTAGATCTGAAAGAACTTCATACAATTTGATTTTTTTTTTTCTTTACAAAAATAAATTCCTTTAAGAATAAATGCATAATACCTCTTTCTCTTCCATTATGCAATTTGACTGGATTTAACAAGCCAATTGGCCTCCAGCCACCAACACCTCTAAGTTTTTATATTGCAAAATAACACATGCTTTTTCATATCCAATTCATTAAATAATCACCTCGTAGTATAGTTTCTGATTATATTTTCCTTAAGTCAGTGCTGTGATACTGCAAAGAAATGCCTCCTATTTGTTTTGTGGAAACCAGCTGCCTTCACAAGAGGAGAAATCTATGATATATCTTGCTGCAGTCACAATTTAAATAGTACTACAGGTTTATTGTACAACTTTAGAAACCAGATCATTTTTCAAGGCATATCCCAATTCAAGTAAAATCTGTGGACACACAGGATAAAGAAATGGCTCTTCAAGAATCAGAAAAAAAAACCCCTTAATAGGGGTTCTTAATAGAGCTTCTTCAGCTCCAGAGAATATTCTTAATATTGGCCACATCACTGGTGAGTTATGAGCCTTTTATACACATGGGGGGAAAAGAGGGAGATAATGGGTACAGTAATCCTCCTAATAATACCAGAAGCTGAATTTCAACTATCAAGCCTCTCTTCAAAGTTAAAAGTTAGCTTCCAAAGCTTTTTAAGAGGCTGCTGCCCTTTTCAAACCACATTTCAGGTGCATCATTCTTGCTGATTTATACATACTAAATGCTATGTGCCCTATTCCTTCTGCGTAAAGCTGGAGAAGGCTGTGTAATTTCATTCTGCACCCTGGCAACCTCATTCAGCTCAGGCTGGTCGAAAAGTCTTAAGGCTAATTACGAGAACATTGGTTATGGACTGAGCTGAGAATAGAGAGGACCTATAGCTATTGCCTGACACAGACACACAAGATACTGGCAGACCACTTCTTCCTCTATAAAAAGTTGAGACTCCCTCCCCTTCATTCAGAACCATTGAGATAACGCAGCAGCAAGAAGGCACGGCAAGAGGAATAATGGCAAAATCCAGGGCAGCGGTTCAGACAGTTTGAAGTATCACAAGTAGAAGCACCTTTCTTGGGTTTCTTTTTTTTTAAAAGAATGGAATAAAACTGCTTGGGGGTTAGATGACTCTGAATTATACACTGAACATATTACATAGAAGTAATTGACACTTTACAGAAATATGCATAAAGGCATGTATATTAAATATACATGCACACCACAATACAAGCTATGGCTAATAGAAACAAGAAACTGCTTGTATCACAACAAGAACCTCTGGAAAAAGGGACTAATAAAATAGTTGACTTCAGTGGACAATACTATAGCTATATATCTGTTACCAGTTTGTAAAGAGTGAGATTGTTGGGCAATATGTACTATGCTTAAACCCTGTTCTTCGTACTATTTGCACAGTTGAAACTGTTACCAGAGTGTTGTGAGGGATTCAGGTTAAATTTCAAATTGAAGATCAAATTGAAAGCAAATAACCCCTTTCCTTTCTGGTCACAGCTGAAATACAGCAATGTGACAATACCAAGAATCTTGCTTCTGTGACATTATTGAAAAAAAATGTAGATTAAATTGTCAAAAGACTGCACATCCAGTTCACCAATGTATGTAATTAGAAATGAAACCAACACCTGTTTTAAGTTTATAAGGCAGAGATGTGTGACTCTTTTTTCCTGACTGATCTGACTTGCAGTCTCAGGCTTTTTAAGACTTTTTCATACAGCTGTTCTGAAAAAAATCCCTGCTAAAGCTACAAAACATAATGTATTCCCACCATTTTCGGAATTGTGACTTCCAGTCATGGTATCACAGAAGAATTAATAAGGAGCAGAATACCAGAACGTTGTACCTACAGCTGGCCTTTTTACTCAGGAAGGGTACGATTCCTTGATTTATATGACGTAACTTTTTAACTCTAACTCTCAATTTATAGTTGGCTCTGCTGGTCTAGAAGACAGACTGGTTGGAGGTGTGAAGCCAGGTGCTATTGCCAGTTCTGCGACCAGTCTGCTGTATGATCCTGGACAAGTCTTTAAATTGCTCTGCATCTTTGTTTCCTCTTTAACCTTCTGATTCCCTCAGGTTTCTTTATCATGACTTCTTGCCTGTTTTTGATCTGATAAGAACAGGCAGTGCCTACCCAAAGGAATAGCTGTGGGGTTTTGTTGCCAGTTCTGCGACCAGTCTGCTGTATGATCCTGGACAAGTCTTTAAATTGCTCTGCATCTTTGTTTCCTCTTTAACCTTCTGATTCCCTCAGGTTTCTTTATCATGACTTCTTGCCTGTTTTTGATCTGATAAGAACAGGCAGTGCCTACCCAAAGGAATAGCTGTGGGGTTTTGTTTTTTTAGTTGTGGGTTTTTTTTTTTTTCTGTTTCTTTGTTTGGTAGGCTGGCTGTGTTTTTGATTTTGTTCTTAAATTTAATGTAAGAACTTGTTGGTTTGATATTATACTGCCTGCAAACATTTTGATGACTAGAAGGAGGCTGGGCACTTGGAAGCAACTGCAACCATTATTTGCAGTGTTCTAACCTTTTGATTTTTATATGAAACTGAAGAAATGATAGCAGTGACTAATACATGGCATTAACAGTGCTGCCTAAAGAAAATGTTACTGGTTGTATGGATGAAAGAGGAATCTGCAAACACTTGATAGACTTTGAATCTTTGCTCTGCATGACTGAGCAGAGAATGCCTTGTTCCTGTAGGTATTTTTGAGCAAAGATGTTCAGCCGCAGAGCCAGCAGCTTCCCAGTTCAGAACATTGTACTTACAGACAGTAATGAAAACCATAATGGAAGTTAGGCTCATGGGGAAAGGACCCTTTGGAAACAAAGGAAAAATAAGATAAGGAGGCAACCACAAAATGGGAATTTCCTGGTAATAATTTCTGTCTATTCAGTGTGAAGTCCCTACATGACACTAGCAGGGAGATGGTTTGGATGAAATAGGAATGAAATGCTTTACACTCTCCAATCAGCTGCCAGCCTCCTTTCATCTGCAAGCAGGCAGACTTGGCAAATACCAATATTTAAGTGCTCAAAGACTAGTGCTGAGAATTTTTGCATAAAATAAATCATCCAATGTCAACTCTAATTATAATCTCTAGTAATTTCTAGAAGGACTAGCAGTTATACTTTTTTCAGCTTGATTTTAATTTGTGGACTTACATAAAATAAGACTGGAAGAGGAAGAAGGGACTATTTTGGCTGTTTTCTGGTATTAAGTTTTTAGCAAACAGCTTCCCCTTCGAAATCATCTGACTGCTACTTAAACATCTCTGGGAGTTCTGATAAAGTTGCTCTCAATTATCAATTTAAGCCATCCACACCTGTGGAATAATTCCTAAAATATAATTTTTATTAAAGGTATATAGCATTGTTCACACATTAAGGAAAAGGTGTGAAATTGAAGTGGTTCCAGAGTAAAACACAGCGGCGGCTGGTATGCAAGGAATCCGCTACCTCACTGACTCCCTGAACAATATTGCTTGCAAAAGCAGCACTGAGGATGGAGTGGAGTGAAGATTCCATGGCCAAACTCTGTGATTACACAGCAGATCTAGGAACAAGGTGGTCCTATGGAACTGATAAGCAGCATGCTTGCTACCCTGAGCCAACAGTCTGTCAAATTTTGATGAAAGGCTGTCCTTTGTGCAAACTTTGCTCATTATAATACCAAAACACACCTCCAGCCTGAAGGCTACCCGCCTACAAGGTGCGACCACTCCTCCTTGAGTCTGCACCCTGAATTTTTCCATAAACTATACCTTTATATGCTGGGCGAGAAAATTTTACACCAATCATAACAAAAGTATTTATGACTAAAGTCACTCAAACTCTACCTCGAAGGTAAAAAATAGTATAAACATAATGCAAAAAAGGGGGGATGCCAGGGAAGACCCCATCGTAAACAAGTCAGGGAAGATCCCATCACAGACTCCTGGGACCAGTCGAGGGGCTGAGCCTTTCTCCTCCCCCCCCCATAGGAGTGCCTGTGGGTAAGACTTAGACTATACCGAGTACTTCCTTGGGAAACTTAGAAATCTCTCTAGAGGGTTACCTGTTACATTTATAGCCAGGCTGCATTGTTTGTAACTTTATTGCGCACCTTGTACTATTAACAATATTTTTACTTGCATGTGCTTTGCAGACAGTGTTTATATCACCAGCAAACCATACGAACCTTCATATCTGTTGCTAAAATAAACTGCACTGCTTAAGTAGCTAGCCATTTTGGTTTCCCATTGAACGCAACCACACATTAAAGAGTGGCTGTGCCAGTTCATGAGCACGACTAGACTGAAGGTGCAGTCCACTGTTAGTGTAGCCAGAATCACAAGAGTTTAATATATTGAACGTGACCAGACTGATAGTGGTGAATTGGGCACCACTCAGAATTTAAACCTAGCCACACCTAGCTTCCCACCTCATAGACTGAAGGTGCAGTCCACTGTTAGTGTAGCCAGAATCACAAGAGTTTAATATATTGAACGTGACCAGACTGATAGTGGTGAATTGGGCACCACTCAGAATTTAAACCTAGCCACACCTAGCTTCCCACCTCAGTGAGGAGTGTTAGAACACAAGGGGGTTTATTTTCTGCTAAAACTATTTTGCCCTTTTGGCTCAACAGTACTCTAATTAAAAGCAATTAATTAGATACAGGAAAGAGAGGGAATGTTTTCAATGAATACACTCTTGCCCCATCAGAGAAGGGGTTGACACATTTCATCCCTGTACTGCACAGCACTAAGAATTTGGAGAAAGTACAGAATGATCCTAGACTGATATACATCCTTAGGAACTAAATAAAGTATTGGTAACATGGATTTCTCTACTTCAGTGGGCTTTGGGTCAGGACATAATCTTGCACAACATGAGCGATGAACTTTGGAGAAAAGGTTGCAACTGCTGACCTAAAGCACAAGAGGAGGAAAAAGTGAAAGATCCCCCCTCTCCAGGCAAGTCCTGTACAATTTTCTTTCATGTATAAATAATAGCCATACTGCATAAAAGGTGCAAGATAGATCATCTGTAATGGCTTAAAATAGCAGCCAAAAATAGAATCTTGGGGGTTTTTTTTAAGTCCTTTTAGCACATTCTAGGACAAAGCCCTTGTCGAGAGGAATAGTCATTTTTGGACGAGCCAGCACATTTGTTCCCATAACCTCAAATGGAAAATCCCAACCATCCGTGAAATCAAAGAGAAGACAGGTTCCTCCTACAAGACATTTGTAATTATACTGCTTGGAGTCAGTATTCTCTCTCTCTCTTTTATACACCCACTCCTCCTATTCTTTCTCATGATCTCTCACCAGATCTCATTAGAGGAGAAAGTCAGAAGGGGGAAAATAAACACCAGAAATGCAACACTTATCTCACTTAAGCTGACTTAAAATATGAGAAGTATTTTAGTTGCATAGACAAGAGAGTTCATTTTCAATTACTGAACAAGTAACAAAAAAACATTTCCAATAAAGTAAATATTAAAAAAACAATTACTATATATACCAATTAATACAGTAGCAGTCAGCAACTTTGTAACTTGAAACAATCCGTAGGTCCCATATTCTCTAGACAGTTATAGCATGTACATATTCTATTATAAGTTAAGTAGATTTCTTTTTTACTATAATTTCAGGTGAAACAAAAATGTGCAGGGCTCTGTGGTTGAAATATTATATTTACTGAATGCTGACAAAACTGCTAGTGCTGACCAAACTTTATACACCACAAGCCTTTACCCTTACAAATCAAATTAGTTGCAATACACATATGCAGACTGAAGGAACTTCCATGCTATGTTTCGTATCACCTGGGTAATTCAAGGGACCTGTACCTATGTCCAGCCAGTGCCACACGGAAGCAGTGGCTTCCCTGTATTCACTGATGACAAAGGAGGAAGGAGTGCATCGTGCTACTGTTTACCTCAGTTACAGGAAGAAAAACAAAAACAATCCGAGTAAATCTGGTTAAAATTCAGAAGTGAAAAACCCCCAAAAATTTTAAAAAGAGAAAAAATTACCTGTGTGTGTGCTGGTTGAGAAGGAAGTCATCAGCATGGAGAAGAGGAGGCATTGGGAGAACTCAGACTAGGGCAACGACATATGTAGATTATGGCTAGAAAAATAGCTATTACCTTGTGTTTGCCTTTCCTCATATGCGTGTATGGAATAATGCATAGCACCTTGTGAACGCCAGGATCCATGTGTTGGGACAGGCCTCTGAAAGACTATAAACTCTATTTCAAGTTTGCAATCCATTTTATGGCAAGGATAAGGGATCTGTTCTGTTAGCGGGATCTGAGTGCCCTTTCAGAAGATTTGGAGGGTGTGTATTGTATTTTTTATGTGGAAAGTTATGCAGCATTCTCCTCACTTTCTGTTATGAATCAGATTCCAGGACTTCCAGAAAGTAACCTAAATTAGTAACTCTGAGAAGAGGAAATGCAGGCTTAAGGTGATTGTCATCCTGTGAATTATGCATTAACATCTTCAGACAGTTCCCAACACAAGAAAACTTTTTTACCTCTTTACTTCCACAACCAACACAACAAAGCATGAAATAAAGCCTGTCAGGTACTTCAGAGAGAGCTCACACTTGGAAGTCATGGAATTGTCGGACTTGGAAGGGACCTCTAGAGATCATCTAGTCCAACTCCCCTGCTAAAGCAGGATTGCCCAGAGCACATTACTCCGGACTGCATCCAGGAAGGTCCTGAAAATCGTCAGAGAAGGGGACTGCACAACCTCCCTGAGCAGCCAGTTCCAGTGCTCTGTCACCCTCACTCTGAAGAAGTTTTTTATCTCCTTTATTTCCCTTTTTTTTTTCCCTTCACCTTCCCTCCTGCAATCCTCCCAGGTTCTTTTTTACCACAAGCACAGCTTTGTCAATCTGTTCGTACTAATCCCTGGATCAGTTCAATACAGCTATATCTAACAAGGTGTTTGCCTCTGTAGCGTTTGCAGATAATTCCCATTGGCTATGGACTGCCCCAGGAAAGACAGAGATCCTGTATTTCCCATCTTTCAGTAATCAACACTCTGAAAAGACAGAAAATACACCAGGAGACCAACCATCTGCTAAAGTTTTTGGCTTTTTGTCATTGAATATGTAAGATGAATAAACAAGCTTAACATGGAACTCAAATTGAAATGCTAACATCAAACACAGAAGAGGTGGTTATATGTCCAAGTGGACAAAACAGATACCAGAAGGTATGTACTGAGCCAATAGTAACTGCCCTGTCTAGCAAAGATAGGCATTGAAAACAAGGCAAACAATGCCAGCTCAGCTGGTTGGAAACTGTTTTCCTCTCAACAGATAAAATGGGGGCACAAAAATATTTTTCATGCTTTTATTACAGGAATATCAAAAAGTTCCAGGTGAGATAAGAACCTTATTATGTTTCCTTATACCTGTGTAGCCCAATTAGACAAGAAATGGACAATTATTCTCATTTTACAGATGAAAACCTAAAGTCCAGTGTCAGAATCACCTAATTTTTCTGAAAATCTGCTGCAGAGCTAAGGCAAAGAACTGGGATATCTTGAATCCCAAAACTTAATGCATTGTCATCTTTCTCTGTACTTACAGCAAAAGGAGTAGGCGATTCAATTTGATGTTTCATCCTTCTGTTTCTTCATACAATACAATTAATTCCCATGATGAATTTCTATGTTGATACTCCCACTCCAGGTTTGATACATCTTCAGCTTAATCATTTCTCCTCCCTGTGTGTTTTACTAGCTGAAAGTGTTTGTGAAATCTCATCTTACTGGCTTGTGTTAGATGAAACACATTCAGGAATCAAAGATCATCCCTATGTCTTTCTCTTGCCTTTGTGTGATCAATGAACTTCAGGATATGATTTTAAAAATTGATGCTGTGATTCATTTTCACAGCATGATGGAGAGGTAAGTTTTCTAAAGTGTTAAGTAACTCCTTAGTGAGACCCAGATACTTTAAATCTTTCACCATGTTATGAAAACGTATCCCTCTTTGACAGAAAGATTTGTTTAATACATAAGAAAGCTTACGGAATCCTGAAGATTTGAATTCTTATAGCTGTACATGTTATCAAGCATACTTTTTTGTGAGCCACAGATTTTTTCATTACCTTTCCATTACCTGTATGCACTGGTAGAAAAATCAAAGAATAAAGTTCAATGGGATCACAGTACCTGGATTTACTTCCTCTTTCCCAAAGGCAGAAGATTTCTACTTCTGGAGCTATTCATTCACTGCATCAGCTCTCTTTGTACATCCTCCAGGGACACTGGGATTACATCGCCTAGCATGAAGAAGGTCCACTTATGTCCGGTTTGCTTTGTAGAACATAGAAAGAATTAGCTTATTTAGGGAAAATCTGGAACAATTCCACTGAAATCAATGTGATTTCCTCTATTTTTTATTTTTCTTTGCAATATGAAAGAATATATCTCACTGAAGTAAATAATGGCATCCCTGCATTCTAAGTCTAAGAAGAGCTGAAATGCAAAATTTAAAGGTGAGACTTAATGTGTCCATGCCTAATGGTCTGTAATACAAATGAGAAACCCCAATAATGTTCTTCTGTGCCTGTTCTCATAGCCACTTATATCAATTTTTTACTGGCTTCTTTCATTTCTATCACTTCTTATTATGATTTTCTATCACTCTTTATTACAATTAAACACACTCAACAAGCGGCTGAGCTGAAACCTGAGAGGTAACAAAAAATTATTTGAAGCAGAACACTCTTTTGCTCCATGAACAACAGTCTTCTGATTTGCTACACTGGAATATGTTAGTGCATCCTAGGAACAGACCTGTCTCCCTTGTTGTTGTGGTTTAACCCCAGTTGGCAGCTAGGACCACAGAACCACTCATGCAGTTCTCCCCTTTCCCTCAGAAGGGTAGGGAGAAGAGGGAAGGCAAAGCAAGGCGAAAACCCCACCAGCTTGTGGGCTGAGATAAAAACAGTATAATAGAACAATAGCAGAAAAAGAAAAATAATAATAATAATAATAGTAAAAGAATATACAAGATATAGTAATACAATGCAAGTCATTCCCACCACCCAATGAATTCATTGCCCAGCCTGTATAGGCAGTGATCACCAATCCCCATCCCTGAGCCAATCCCTATTTACATACCAAGCATGACATCTATGTTACAAAATATTCCATTGGCCATTCCATTGTTCTATGTATGCTCCTCAGCTTCTACGGGAAGCTGAAAAACGTCCTTGAATATTATAAACATCAGCTAGGAAGAGCCAAAACAATATGCATTATTGAGATTCCTTTCATACCAAATCTGAAACACAGCACCCACTAGAAAGGAAATTATCGCAGCTGAAACCAGGACCCTTGATAACACTGCAGGGCAGGGAAGAAATGGCAAGACTGAGTTTTGCAGCCCTTATGTGGGACAGCACTTGTATAAGTAATTCCCTTTATTTCATTGTGCTGCTGTGCATAATCTGCCAGCCTCTTAAAAGGGGTAGGTTGGGTATTGGCATTAATCAGTTCAGCTGTATTGCCTTGCACCTAGACAGGAAAGCATATACCTTTTTGCCCAGATCTGAATTTTAAGAAGATTGTATAGCATTTATATCATAAGGTGTGTGCACAGGGGCACTTTCCTCCTCAGAATGCAAGTGTATGAGACTAGGATGGGATCTGGCTTTTAACCAGTTTCATCTGCAGAGAAATTACTGTTTCTTCTAACCCAGAAATCCCAGAAATAAAGATTGTAACATGAGCTACTACCAGTCCTAGGAATACTATCGAGATACATAATAGAGCATTCTTCCCACCCCACCTCCCCACCACCACCTCGCCCTTTGGAATCCATTTTCCTGCTAACATTTCTAAGTTGTTTTTCCCATGGTTGGCATTCTGGTATTTTGAAAATAAACATCTCGCATTCACATAGCAAAAGAACATCCACTCTTGCAAACCCTTCACCATTCAAGTAACCTCACAGACATTAGTAGTCACCTTGATTTCAATGGGATGAGGTAAATCAGCAAGGTAAAAACATATCCACCTGACTGTGACCAAATTCTTGCTGAGCTATATTTTAACTCATAAATAGTCCCAGTGAAATCAAGAGGAATAATTCTTGTGTAAAGAGCTCCGCATAAGCATAAGCATCAGAGCTGCCCTTACACAAATAAGCCCCAGTCCTTTAATGAATTTTATGCAATTGCTACCCTACAACCACACACAGGCCCATTAGTTTCAACTAGGATCCATCAGGGACTCGTTGCAAGACTAGAGCTTAAAGGCAGGCTGCCCAGAATGAATGGTTTAACTAAAGGCATGATGTTAAAATGATTTAGATTGACAGTTAAATTAAGTGAAACTACCTGTGTAGACACACACCAGTTTAGTATGCCCCTGTAATTTACAGTTTAAAACCCCAGGAGCACCCACACACCACCTCACATGGGCTTAATACTGCAACATAACAGCCTTTGTTTGCTAACAGCACTCAAGAGACACGTTCTACCTCACAATTTCTCCCTGCTTTGAGAATTAAGAAGTCTGCAGCATGACCTATGCCTAATGATGAGTTTCTCTCCTTTACCAGGATGCTGCACCCACTTGTCCTCCTGTCCTGCAATCCCCCTGCAACCCCTGATTGCTTTGCACAGCTGTGCAAGGTGGCCCATTCGTTTCCTACCACATGTATTCTTTTCATGATTCCATTTGATCCATAAGAAATAAGTGAACCTGTGAGTATAGTTTTTTGAATTCTCATCAGAGAAGTTTCTAACAGAAAACGGGCTTTTGAAATCTTACATAAGTAAAATAATAGATCTTTTCATGGTCTCTCTGTCCTGTACTGTTTGGTGAACTTTCTTCCATCTTTTGATATAGTATATTTTTAAAGCTACTTGGAGAGACCAATGTTGACCTCAAGCCTAATGTCAGCGATTTTAATGAGCTGTGGAATAGGGGCCAACAACAGGTAATTTGTTGCAGATATGAGGCAATCAACTATTTTTCAAATATTCCTGTTCTCTGGTTTGCTCTTTTGGATTTGGCAACAAGTAGTTGGCCCTTGGTCTCGTGGTCCTTAATCTGTCACAAACCTGTGCCAGCCAAACACAATATCCATAAACCCAGACTGTGGTCTGGTAGGTAGCTCTGTAATATCTGTAACTTGTAGATAACCTAACCTGTTGTTTGGATTTTGTTTTTTGTTTCTTTTTTTTTTTCCACTGTAGAAAAGGTTGGGCACTATTGTGTTGTGTTCTCAGAATGAATAGGGGGAGATGGTGTGGAACAGACAAGGGGTCTTCTTTGTTTTCTTTTCCCTAACCTTCCCTCAACCCCCACAAAATAACCACAGATATTTTATGATATATTACATGTTGATTATAATAAAGATACAGAAAGAATTCAGACTGAAGATAGGACATAACAAAAATTTAGTGGCATAAACTCAACTCTGTTCTCCCCTTCAGTGATGTGTATCTAAATCATTTATTCTCCTAGTTAGTAAGAATAACTAGAACTGTAAGCAAACATATTTAAAAAAAAAAAAAAACAAACCAAAACAGAACAAAACAAAACAAAAAAACCCAACAAAAATAAACGTCTAAACATGGAGAAATAAATGGATATGCTTTTCTTTCAACTTTTTTCATCTCTTAATATTATTTTGTTTTCTTTGACCTCTATTTCCACGTGTATATTACCTGCCTTTATTGCTGGAGCAAAACACAAATATTCTCAGGTAAAACTCTGTGCTATGCAGAATGTCATAAAATGCCCATTACCTCCAAATTATATGTGTCCTTCCAGGGACAACTGGATAGCGAAATAATGGCTGGAACCCATGGCCAAAGATACATTGAGTTTTTCCCAGGACCAGAGTAAGTACAATTCCTTTCAGAATTACAACTGGTCCTAACAACAACATAATAGAAGAATAAGAATAAGGTAAATGAAAACTGTGGTAATTAAATTGCATTAGTATTCAGTAATCAATTGTCATCCATTTATTTCTCTTGGGAATAGAAATCTATGATCTTTACATTTGCCGTAAACATTTTCCAAAAATTTTTTCTAACTGCTGTTAAAAGCCCTGACTGAAAGACTATTTACAGGTCTGCTGAGCTATATTAGTAGGCTTAATATCTCTAATCTGGTACAAAATGAAGCACATGTTTAAGAACTTCCCTGAAATAGAACCAAAGATCCTGAAACTGGCAGTAGTTTTTCAAGTTAACTGCCATTTAAAACTATGGAGTCCATAAAAGTCCATGAAGAACCTGATATATAAGAGAAAAAGAAGAAAACATATATAATACAAAGAAGCAACCACACAGAATTAAAATATAGATAGATAGGTAGGTAGACAGATATATAGATAAATAGATACATAAACTTCTATACTGCCTACAAGAGAGAAGTCTTTGTGGGGTACTGAAATATGTGCGATCAGGTGAAAAAAGAAAAGCTGATTTTAATCCACTTGCTTTATGCAATTTTAGTACTTATTGAATCAGCCTAGAAAAGCCCAGCAGATAACTCATAGTCTACTATTTATAGTTAGGGATCGAACATCTTATGTTCTAAGCCTGTGTAATTCCAAATTTTTATTGACAAGAAAAGTACACAATGTTTATAGTGCTGCATTCTTTCAGGGAAAAAAAAAAAAAGAAAAGAAAAAAAGAAAAACATCTCCTTAAACCCACTCACATTTCATCTCATCAGTCATAACCTACATGAATGATAATAGGTTATCAGAGCTCTCTGGTTCTCTGTGACAGTTCTAATAATGCAGTGCCAGATGTTTAAAATGTCTGAAATACCCAGAGGTTGTAGTGCAGTGACCTCCATGGTCTCCCATTCAATGGAAGTGGTTGGTAAATGTAAATATAATTACAGTGCAATCCATTTATAATAGGCATGACTGTAATATAACAAATAAAAGCACTTACAAAACTAAATACGTTAAATTAAATGTATTGTTTTCTGATTATAACAGACACTGTCTGGGTATTATTAATGCCTCCTAAGAAGTGAACAGGGAAGGAGCTTTGAGCATATTTGAGAAATGGAAGAACATTAAGCAATGTAACCTCTATGCTTTCATTCCCACAAGCTGTGCAAAACATTGAGTTAAAACAAATATTTCTAAAAACCAAAACTGTTACTTTTTTCACTAAGCCTCAGTAACAGCAGATCAGGCTTGTTCTTACTGTCCAGAGTCCTTGACAGATAACTGAAAGAGCAGAGTTCCTCTTATCACATTTCAACAGCAAACTTGTTGCAGTAATACTACATTCTTGCTTTCAAATTTAATTTTGTAAGCATGCAGAATTAACACATAGCCCTTTTCAAGCCCCCAAGCCTAACCCAAATCAAAGGAAAAAGAAATCCTCTTTATTCTGAATAATAATAATTCCTGCAAAATAAATAAATAGACCATGCATTGGGCTGTGTAAGTGGATGTTAAGTAAGTATGCAAGCAGGTAAGTATGTTAATTTATATGTTATACCACTTGTGTTGCTGAAATGACAACATTAGAGTTGTGGTCCTGCATGAAGCTATTTTCTTTAATGACCTACATGTCAGTGCTTTCTTGATTGCATTAAGCCATGCTTAATGCATGGTGCCGAGAAGAAAGTGGAAACATTTTCCTAGGAAGGAAGAAACCTTTCCTTCAGCTGTTTCCCCATCTTCTTCCTTTATTCTGGTCCTTCTCTTCCTGCCTATGGCATTTTGCTCAGGTATACTTTCTCTTCACTGACTTCACAGAGTATTTCACCCCCGCGATTTAGGCAAATTGTTTTGGTTTGTAATGATCATCAGATTACTTTAGTTAGCTGTTGTGTCCATGAAACTATTAAAAGCTTTCAGTTATCATACTGTAATTCTTCTTAGGCTATTAAAAGATATTACAGAGGGACTGAAGGGGTGCTCTTTTGATTCAACACTTAATCACACAGAAAAGGAAACGACACCGCATGTTATGTTATTTCAGGCCTACCACAGTGACCCCCCCAGTCTGATCAAGGCAGAGTTTGTGGCCCCTCATAAGTGGAGATGCCGGTGATGTAAAACAAAGGAATCCAGTAGATTAGGAGGTTGGAGCAGGAATTCCCTAAACTGATTATTCTTATCCTCCCCTTTCCTCCTCATAAATTTCTGTGAAGCTACAAGTCGAAGTGCTTTCCCAGAACAACTCGGCAGATGATTAACTGTTCAGACACAGCCTGCCCTGTGGAATGCAAGGAGTTAATTTAATATAATGAAGTTTCTCTTATGACCTAGAGGCAAAGTTCCCATGACCATGCTTCTAAAATGTCGCCCTTTAATTTTTCAAGGGTTCATATTTTCATTCACAGTAGGAGTCTTTTTGTTTCGGTTCAGTCCCAGCCAAGGACAGCGTGCAGATCTTTCTCTTCCTCCCTAATTTAGTTATATTCCTAATATCATGACTCCAAGGGGCTCAGTATAGCCCCCTCCCACCTCTGCTGCCTACCTCACTGCACAAAGCAATCACAGCTGACCTGGTAACCTCTATCTACTAGACCATGACTGGCTCTCACTGGCTGCCTTCCCCAACTCACCATCTTAGTTACAGCCAAGCCAGCCTGAGTGAACTCTCAGAGCTGTCTTTACACATACATTGCTGAGAGCAGCATTTTTCCCCTTTCTGCTGTTCAGAGGCATCTGAAGTGCCTATTGTATTACATGCAGAAACGGTCACTCATCTTTTCCCACTGTAAAGTAATTTGATATTGGGATACTTCTCAGGGCACCGATTTCTGCTGTTTTCACCAAGAAACAGACACAGCAGTAAGCTTTATTGAGCTTCCTTACCTCAGAAGGAAATTAAAGCCTTATTATATAGAAACCTTCCAAACAGCACAAAATACTTCAAACTCCTCAACTATCCCTTGTAGGATCAGGCCCTCATTGATCAGGTTTTCCTATCTGCAGAGACAGCCATAATATATTTTTTTTATATAGTTGCCCACTTGTGTTCAGGGACAAATTCACTGTATCCAAAAACTCATCTGTCTCTCACTACCTCTTAGGTGGAAAGACAGGTTTTCAGGTACTCCTAGCACAGTATGTGGATCACTCTAAAGGCGAATAACTTTTACTTTGTTTGTAGAGTTATAAACAGTCACACGGTCATAAATCTGGCACTATATAAAATGAAATTGAATGTTGTTTTTACATCATTGAACTGTTTTGAAAAGCTAAAGTTTGAGGGGAAAAAAAAAAAAAGGTCTTGGGTTTTTTTTTTTTCAACTACATCAATAATCTTCCATTTAATTTATATACCCACAGATGTCAGCTACCTCCAAACCCTCTTAGTGCAGTGATATGGAAACATTTTTACTGAAAACTTCTTAGGAATACCTCAGAGAGTTCACATTCATATCTATTTAAGTGAGCAGATGAATAGAATCTACCTAACCTAATTGGGGGAGAGGAAAAAAAAAATCAATAAAGCAAGCTTTCTACTTATCAACTGTATCCCATTTCTTGGTGGTTATTGCCTGCACTGCAGCTTATTTGGAGGAAATCTTTGTTCAGACTTTAATTTGCTTTGCTCATTCCATGGTCACTTCCCCTGGTTCAGTTTAATAAGTAAAGACTAGCATATGGGAATACAACATTATGGAAGACATGTGTTGCTGATGCAGTACATCCACCTGGCAAACACAGTTCCATTTTATTACTGCAAATTCAGAAGTGTTTTGTCATTGTGGAAAAAAAGTTAACTATTCTATTTAATTAATTATTGCACATCAGAGGAAATATAACTTTATGTCAGACAACAAAAGCTTCATTTTTTTCCAATATTGCTCCTTAATATGTTTTCCTTTTTCTTTTAAGATCCTGCCTAGTGCACCATATACTTTCCTGTTGAAATTCACAGAGTCAATGAAGCCCCACACAAACAAACAGGATCCATCATCACCAGAGCCCACATTTTCTCTAAGGATACATGAGAGGAAGAAGTGTCCTCACTTTAATTTTGGCAAAATCTGGTTCTCTGTGATGCAAAGTTTCTTGAATAATTCCATGAGATATGTTACCTGACCCTGTACCAAAAGGCAGGGATTCAGTTCCCCAAAGTCAAAGTTTCCATAGAATCCAAAGGAGACCATTCACATCTGTGTTACTGCCTGCCTTCCCTACCTATCTCCTGACATTGTTATTCTGGATCCTGTGCAAATCATACTGCTACAGCATCTGGTTTTGAGGCATTGCCTTTGTGAGGGTCTCTGAATAGAGGTGGAAGTCATACAAATTGTAGTAGCAACTCTGAATGAAGTACCCTAGTTTTGAATCATCCTGCCACTGTTCTGAGTATGCAACAACTAGCTCGTAAGCTTTTACTGTAGCAAAGGAAAACACTGCAGTTTAATGTGCAGATCAAACTCTAGGATAGTAGCAGACAAAGAAAAAAAGCACTATTCACCATCCCCAGGCCAGATCCATGATTCAGGGGAGGAAAAAAAAATAAAAAAGAAGAAAAAGGAGTAGGGGGCTCAAATAACCTCATGCAATCTTTGATTATCACAGTCACAGGTGTTGCAATGCAGAATGCAATATAATGCTTTAATAGAGATATTGCTTTAAGGAAACCTCTGTTAGACACAGGAATGAAGTGTGTAAGTGATGAGAAAAAAAATGTCCACTTTGTAATTCTGAAATAGGCTTCTGGGAATAGTCTGGTATTCCAAGACTGGTGATGTTGTTACAGATACCTCGCAGGAAAATAAGGACTTTCACTGTGGATGAAACACAGCAGATCACTCCCTAAATGCTCTCAGTTTCCTCTCTTGCAGTAGAGTGCATAAGCTTCTGTCTTTTTATATTGCCTGGGAAAATAAAATAAAATACTGTAAAACAAAAAAGTCAAACTCCCCTTGTGCATTGCTAAGGAAGAAAACTTGGTTAAATGACTTTTATTTGTGGTGCTATGAGTTTTATGAGTGATGTTGAACAATCCCATTTCTTAGGCATATGTTACACATTTAATTACAAAGACACTTAATTGTAAGGTTTTTTCTTTCCTTAATAAATAGACTCTTACATCCATTTAAAGGTTTTAAAAAAAGAAATAAACCATAAAGCCCATATGATAATAATCCCTTGTGTTCCTATTAGGGCAAAGTGTGATGAGTAATGCTATCTACTTTATCCCTTAATGTGTTGCCATGATACAAGTGTCCTTATCTCCACCTTTTTTAGCATTTAATGCAGAAGCAATTCTCTGGTACAAGTTACAATTTAGTTCTTGCTATGATATTTCCTACAGTTGGAGAAACAACCTACTCTGCCTGATTTCTATAAATTTTTTTCTAGCACTTGTCATTATGCAAAATCATATAGGCACTTTGGTCAGAAAATGGAAGAATAAAATAACTAACACTGCAAATCTTACAGGCTTCTCCCCATTTTAGTAAATGGAGTATATTAAAAACTGTATTTTATTTCTGTGTCTATTGTTAAGAAGGCTGTTTGTAGCTTATTATAATTTCTAACTCAGTGTAGTCAAAAGGACCTAAAGAGATTTTGACACATCAGATTTCTGACAGATCTGCATTGTAAATTCACATGGGCCATTGCTTAGAAGTTATCTGAAATGATCTGGTTTTATACTAATTTAATTGTTTTTATGCCAATCAATTCTGCATCAGAAACAGACTTCATGGCACTAGTAACACCGCTAATTCTTCTAAAGGTTTGGCTGTTTAAAGTTACTTGTTCATGCTATCTGCATAATGAATTGTCCTCTTCAAGGTGATAAATTATTTATTAGAGTAATGAACAAATCAATCAGGGGAGCAGGATAACAGAAACACAGCTTTTGGCAAAGGTCTGAATGTTTACATTTATCACAGGAAAGCCTTGACTTTGATGCAGACCTTTCAGAGATGTTTATTAATCATGATCTCATTACAGTTTTGTTGGACTAATAGCTTTTTATTTGTCAGAATTGTTTCTGGTGATGTAGTGCTGTTGTCCTAAAAATACAGATCTATTTACGCTATTTAACTGTCTGCAAAATTATTCAAAGGTAGCTTATTTCTAACATTGTGCTTTATATTAAAACAAATCAAGATTAAGAACTTTTGTCAGTGATTTCAGAGCTGGTGTCTGTGAAATGTTGTGGCTTTTTGGTACAAAACTTGAAAGCACCTCATGGGTTAGCTGCAGCACATAGCAGTGATTCACTGCAGAATTGAGAGTATTACTCTGGAACAGATCCAATACTTTTAGAATGTGGCAGGGAGCCTCTAACTGCAGAAAGATACATATTGGGTATATTAAGCATATTTTAGTGTTTATTAGTGAGAGATTTGGGATTTAGACTAGAATGTGCTCTGAAACTAATCTAAATACACATCTGCTGAAGGGTGAAATGGCATATACTGTAACTCATGAAAATAATGAGTGTGAATTAGTTTCTGAACCATAGCTCTACAATTTATTCAGATCAGGTTTGGCAGGAACTTGTTAAAAGGACATATAATGAAGGGAGCACATTCAGACCTGTGTAAGAATTTAGCCACACAATTGCCATTAAATTATTGAGTGGTGTTTGATGAGAAACCCTTTGACTGCTTTGGAAGTTTGCAACCAATGAGTCCTGTGCTTTTTTGGTTTGTTGGTTTTTTTTTTTTTTTCTTGGAGGTTTCTTTTTGGTGCATTTTTTTAAGTAAATTAGACTGGAACATTATGATGAAAAAATTTCCTGGAAAATGCCATTTTGTGTTGCTATGGCAGAAGATATTGGGGAAAGTGAAATGCCAGGGGGGGACACACACCTTCTAATGTCAAACCTTTAATCTGCATTATATCAAATACTCAACATAGAGCAGTTGTACCATGAAATTAAATTATTAGACTGGTTAACTATGAGACCATACATTAGACATGGGAAACTAGCCATGTTAATGGGCACAACTTTTTTGGTGTCTATGTTTAACAGTAAAATTGCTTGGTTTAGCAAAATTGCTTTTGCAAATAAACTCAGATACACTTAGCTGAACATATAATTAATTGCAAACATACTAAGTGATTAGAAATTACAGCCCTCAACACCAATTCATCTAGGTGGCACACGTTATTGATGATGAAATACTGTTGATATATTCTTAGCTTTGACCTGTATTTCGATGAATATATGGAACCATCTGTTTCTTTCATGACATCTTACTGCTGGAGCTGAAATCAAATTTAAGTTTTAAGTTGGAATCAGGACATCTAATGAGAGTTCATAGGCAAAGCTCTATCAAAATGAGAAATGTGGGCATAAAGCATTGATCAATGAACTGTTCCCTCTTGAAAAACTAAATGCTTTAATCCTGAGGCAGAATATGCACTTTGTGTTGGTCTCATGCATATAAATAGCCACTTTTGAGTCCTAGTTTAATCTGATTGAAAACATCTCTATGTAACTCTGAATGTAAAAGTTTCCCACAGCTTTCTTTCCCACTTTAGTGTGATCAATGGGGAATTGAGTTTAGTGGAAGAAGGGTCTGACCTACTAATTCAATTAAGCAAAATTTTGGTTGTTTGGTACCAGGTGCAAGATAACTTTTGTTTTATTTTATTTTATTTTATTTTATTTTATTTTTTATTTTAATTAACCCAGTGGACTAAGTGAACATTTAAACACATTTCTACAGCCTTTAAGTACTAAAGTAAAAGGAATAAATCTTTATGTCCATTGGTAATTTAGGGATAAGGTGAAAGCAGCCTTTTAACTCTCCTGATACTTCTGGCTAAATGTATATCCTTGTCTGACCTCTAATAAATGCCTCGTTTTGCTGAAACTTTCCTGAGAATTACAAAGTATACAACACATATCATCATTGCTGTCTTATAAGTGCTGATACAGGGAATAATGAGATGTAGTCTTCCTTGATTAATGTGCAAAGTTACTTTAAGAAAGAACTCATTTATAGCACCTTGAATGGCCACAGGAGATAGTCTTGGACTGAAAGAGCTCACATATATGTGGACAAATAGTGGAAGAGAAATGGCAGGGGAAAATATATTTTAAAGTTGTTTTTTATTTTTTGAAGGGTAATTTATGTTAAAGAACTTACCTGACTCGCATGGAGAAATTATGGCAGACATGACGCATCTTTACTTGACTCTGTCCTTTTATTTTCAATTGCATGCTTTTGTATCATTTGGATTTTCAGATACATGTAGCTTCCATTCACTCTAGCTGAAATCAGTTGGAGCTGCACCTTCTGAGAACCAAACACAAGTAAAAATCAGGCTGACAATATAGAACTGCAGACTGCAGCATTAGCATTTTATTTTCCAATACCTGTGCACCACAGTCTCACAAATTCATTTTAGATAGTAGACCGCCCCTTTGAAAGCCTCACACAAGGCACTATAATGCACTTTAGCATTTTATTCCCTCAAGCTGCAGTCACTTTAACCAATTAACACGCCTCTTCTCTGCAGACTACTGCATGGGTACAAAAAGAATTAAATAGGAGGATACATGATGGGAGAGCAAAGAACCTGTCATACTCTCATGCCACCCAGATTCTGGGCTTCACAATTCTTGCTCCCAAATACTACAGATGTCATAAATATTAGTTCTTTTGTTAGAATAAATTTTCACTGATATTTAGTCTGCTTTAATTTAGTTCTTTCTATTGTTTCAGTAAGACACTATGAGTCCAGACAAAATACTGGTTTACTTACCGCTCAGAATGTCAATCTGCTTATCCAGGAGAAGTGGAAAAAATGGACTTTAAAGGATTTGTTTCTTTCCCTCTCAGCCTCCACCATTTTGCAGTATCTTTCCTGGATAATGAGTAGTTTCTTTTCCTCTGCTAGCGATATCTCTCTTAGTTCTCTCAATATTACATTTGATGCTTATGGAAACACATTGTTCTGTTCTTGTTTTCCTGAAGCATTTCAGAATATCGGCTATTATCTGGTCTGAAGTAGGAGAATAGCTACTGAAGTATAACTCAGAATACTGAATACTGAAGCATTCTGAATTATTAGTTGACTTGAATTTTATTAATGAACATATTACATTACTCTATTTGTATCCAAGCCTATTCTGGAGAAAGACAAGTATGTGGTATTCGTTTTACAAATGGAGAACATGGGACACTAACATCCCTTTTTCAACGTAGAACAGAAAACAGAGTGCCTCAATTTCACCATTCCTGCCTTAGTGCACTGCTCACAGAACCCCACTGACAACTCAATTCACTACAGTTTTGTATGTACAGCATCTTGAAGATTTAATATAGACAAAATTATCAGTGTTCTCACTGGGAGCCTCATCTATGTAGTGACTTATCTCAAATTAAATATATTAGCAACAATTCATACAATAGCGAAATGCAACCACAGTTTCAGTAAAACATGTCTTCTCTTTAACTATGCAACAAAAATGTTTTGGAGTGAGGTTACAAGGGTGGACACCTGACTAGCTGACAAGGCAAGGCATGGTATTTGTGTTACTGCTCTTGGGAGGGAGAAGGGTGAGGGAGAGGAGAGTGCAGAATAAAACTGGTCTTTTAAGTGATTTTACTGCATTAGTTGGCTGCAATGTTGCTTAGAAATGCTGAGGCCATAGAGATAGGTTCATGACATCAATGAAAATGTGTATGAGGTGCCTATAATTAAATCAGACATCTGTTGAGCAGTGGTATTGAACTACACCTAAGCCAATATATGGGTTACCATAATTCTGCTTAAGTACTGTCCTGCTGAAAATACTCAGCAATTAGGACACGACTACCGTCAAACCGAAAAAAGAACCGTATTTTTGAAAGGTTATCATTAAAGTGATGAACTAGAAGACTACTAATTACACAAGTGCATAAATATTTGCAGGCTCAAGTTTTAATACATAATGATTTAGATATAATACTGTATGTTGCAGTATCAAAGATGCTTACATTTATACACATATTATCAATATTTTGATAAAAATTGCATACTGTTAGGATAATGAGAATGAAGGTCTCTGTGTTTCAAAATAATCAACATAAAAAATGTGTCAAAACCCATATGATTCTAGCTCACATGGGTGATTACTAGAAAGCATAAGTCTGTCCATAGTCTTTAGTAAGACATACTTTATTCAAACACCTAGGGTGGAAGAGACCGCTAGAGATCATCTGTAGTCTCTACTGGTCAGATTATGTCCAGTCAGAGGAGTTACACAAGGCCATGCTCAGTGAAGATTGACTAACTCCCAGAATGGCAGTATCACTGCCTCTCTAGGCGCCTCTTGCAATGTCTAACCACTATCACAGTGAAAAACATTTTTATTTCCTTATTCAGAATTTATCATGTACCAACCTGTACATCATGCCTCTCATCCTTCTGTTGTGCATGTCTGTGAAGACTCTGGTTTGGTTTCCTCTGCACCCTCCTATTATGTAGTAGTAGACAGCAATAAGATCATCCTCCTCGGTTTTCTCTATCTCAAGCTGGATCTCTCAGCATCTCCTTGTAAGCTGTGTGCTTCAGCTTCTCCCTTGACCACCTTTGTCGTCATCCTCTAGTATGTCCATGTCTCTCTCATACTGGGGAGCACAGAAATGGACACAGCACTCCAGATGTGTCTCCTCAGGGCTGAGCAGAGGAGAAGGATCACCTCTCTTGACCTGTTGGAAACGCTCTTCCTAATGCAGACCAGGATGCTGTTGGCCTGCTTTGCTGCAACAGTGTAGTACTGGCTCGCAAACAACTTAGGTATATGGACACCCAGGCCCTTTTCTACAAAGCTGCTTTCCAGCTACTTGACCCCCCTAGTCTCTGCTTGTGCATGAGGTTTTTCCTCTTCAAGTGGAGATCTTGGTATTTCCCTTTGAAATTCATGAGATTCCTGTCGGCCCATTTTCCCAGCTTATTTATATCCCTCCTGTCAGCCCTGCCCTCCAGTGATTAGCCAATTTGATATAGTCTGGAAACATGTGGAGTCATCTGGTCATTAAGTAAAAAAACATTAAACAAAAGTGGCCTCAGTATGTGCTGGAGAGAGCTTAACTAAGTAACCAACTGCCAGTTGAATTTCCTACTGCTGATCATCACATTTTGAGCCCAGAGATATAGCCAATTTTCAACCCACCTTATACCTCACAAATTTGACTCTAAGAACACTGTGGGAGGCTATGTTGAAACCCTTTCTTAAGCAAGCTGTTGGCAGAAGGCCACTTCAGTCCCAAATCAAAAGAGTGTAATAGCTATGTGAGAAACTGCTGGGCGCTGCAAAACCCCAAAATGGGAAAGAGATTGGAGTACCCCAACATGATGCTGAACAAGAATGAATGTAAGAAACTGCAACACATTACAAATGGTGAAATAGGAATACCAGGACTGCTTCTGGGTGAAAGACGCCAAAAGACAGGGAAGCAGAAGTCTACTGGAGTCAACATCTAAGACCAAAATTACATTGTAAGAGTGGAAAGCCTGCACAACCAGTTAAGCAAAGAAAGAGTAAACAGGGCGGATTGCTTGTAGAGAAATAGGAGGGAAAAAAAAGGGAATATAGGAAAGGCAAATAATTTGATAAGGCTCTCTGAGAGTGTTAGGGTGAAGCAAGAATGGTACTGCTGCATAAAGGAAGGGGAACTGGGAGCTGAGACAAGAAGGCTGAAAGGGCCATGCCCTTACCAAAAAAAAAGCAGTCCCACAGTACCTGAACAAGAAGAGAAAAGTGGGATTGGGGATGGTAACCAGAGGCAGTCAGGAGTCCAGATCACTAGACATGTCCATGGTGACAAGGTAGGTCCAAGGTCAAGCTGGAAATTCAAATCTGTGGGTCAGACTCAGGATCAACTGGGTGACCATGCACAGAATCACAGAATAGTCAAGGTGAGAAGGGACTGCTGGAGATCATCTAGTCCAATCCCGCTGCAAAAGCAGGTTTACATAAAGCAAGTTGCAGAGCATCGTTTCCACGCGGGTTTTGAATATCTCCAGAGAATGAGACACCACAACCTCTCTGGGTAGTCTGCTCCAGTGCTTTGTCACCCTCAAAGTAAAGTTTTTCCTCATGTTCAGGTGGAATTTCCTGTGTTCCGGTTTGTGCCTGTTGCCTCTTCTCCAGTTGCTGGGCACCACTGAAAAGAGTCTGGCCCCATCTTCTTGACACTCACCCTTTAGATATTTATAAGCATTGATGAGACCCTTCATAGTCTTCTGTTCTCCAGGCTAAACAGACCCAGATCTCTCAGCCTTTCCTCACAAGAGAGATGCTCCAATCATACATGTGCATTACATGCACAGACACATCAACAATATAGCTTGGGTAAGAATCCTTCAGTGCTGCTCCCAAACAAAGGGAGGCTAGGACCTTGCTTCTCCCGAATCTCTGTCCTCCAGCTCTTTCCCAGCAGTTTGATCCAAGATTCCACATCCACGTTAAATGAGAGTTGGCCTTAAGCACTGGCAGCCAAAACCTTGGGAAGGAGAGAGGAAAGAAAGGGTTACAGAGCCCATTGGTACTCTCAAGGCCCTGATGAACCATTTAAGAGTTCTGCATCTGATCAATGTGGCCTGCAGTAGGGCAATAAACCAGTTCAGACTATACCCCATGTACCTGATTTGCTTCCCTGGTTGTGGGACCTAGTGCAGTGCCAAAAGGGTCAGATGCCCCTAACACAAGGTAAACAATAACCAGTGCTCTTTCCGCATCCAGAGAGTCAGTCATATCATCAAAGATAATAGTCAGGTTAGCAAGGCACTCTTGCTAGTTGTTCCAAATCATCACTATATCTTTCACAGGCCTAGACGTGGGCTTCTGAGAGATTTACTCCAGAATTTCACTAGGGACTATGGTTAGCTCACCAGCCTGCGGTTCTCTGGATTCTTCATCTTGGCCTTTTTGAAGATGGGTATTAGTAAGAATTATTAAAACATGTTATATATTAAAAAAAAGAACTCATTTAGAAGCAGTATGCCTTATATATGTTTGAAAACACCTATAGAAAAAGAAAATGTCTCTCAAATGTCCACTCATCAAAGAGTCCTCTTAAATTTGTTCTCCCCTTGCATCCCTCCTCTCTTCCAATAGTCTCACAGGTGTCCATAGACTTCTCCCTCTATAACAAGGAACCTGGTATCACTGATTCTTTGCAGGTATGTGAAGATACCCGTTGTCCAATGACTTTCTTTCAAGTACCACTTTTTTGAAAGGTTATGTTATATATACCTTTTTTCTTTTTTGAGGTTTTATGTATAAAAAGTATGGTACTTTCATTCTTAACTCACGGGAAGTGTATTATAATTTTAGTATATTGACCTGAGAATGTCAATGTTGGAAATGTCAATACTACAGATAATCTGTGAGCCCTTGATAATATTTGCATTATAACCTGATCAGAAGAGATAATTGTATTAGAAGTGCACAGAAGGTCTTCCTCTTCACATCAATGCAGTCTACCCAGCATTTTTAGGTACAAATACTGTTCTACAAGTAAGCTCCACAACACGTCCTTCACATCTGCTGGTCTACAAAGAGGGATTTGTGGTGCTCTGAGGACATCAGTAACACACTTCCTGAGGAGGCTGCAGAATCTATACTTCAGTTCACTTTTTCTCTTCCTTTAGTGTGAAGAAAAGCATGTCCGCTGAACTTGAATGTCAATATTCTCCAAAAGTGCAATTCCTAGGACTAGCACAAATTTGTGCAGTTGTCTGGCTCAGGTTCACCAGTCTCTAAAAATTTATTATTGATGAATTGTACAAAGAAGTAAGTGTAGTATTTGTTAGGTAACTCCTTGTTTATGGTACTTTGTGTCTCAGAAGCACCATTCCCTATGTAGATCTGTGTATATGTAGATGTACATCTTTGATCCTAGAATTTCTTAAAATTTAAAGATGACAGGTGCATCTGTTACACAAATCGATACAAAATGACAGTACTTCCAAACTCTGCTATTACAAACACTACCCTATTTGTCACCCGTACTCTTCCTACATCAAAAATATCTATGAACACGCAGCTTTGAGACACAAAGTATCCAGAGCAACTCAACTGAGGAGAATCTCTTATGCCAGCTGAGAAGAGGAGGGAAGTACGGGATAGGCACACTTCTGGTGACTAATGTTTTTCCAGAGAACCATGCAAATCTAGACCTGCTTGCTGAGTGCCTCGTCTCACCCAATAAGGTTTGTTGGAGCTGAATAGTTACACCCATACATCAAGTTGTCATTTGTTCACCTGAAGATATATAAGCTTTTCTGTAAGATCACAAACATGGGCCAGTTTGGACAGGTTAGTCCCTCTCCTACCTAATTTCTGCAAACACCAGACCAATCTCATTCAAGATTACTCTTGTGCAGATCCTGAGCTGTGCAAATCAAATAAAATCGTAGAATCAGAGAATGGTTTGAGTCGGAGGGGACCTTTAAGGGTCCAACCCCCACACCATATCTTTCACTAGACCAGCTTTCTCAAAGCCCCATCCAGCCTGACCTTGAACACTTCAGAGACGGGTCATCCACAGCTTCTCTGGGCAACCTGCTCCAGTGCCTCACCAACCTCAGAGTAAAATATTTCTTCCTTATATCTAATAACCTAGGCTGTAGAGGTAGATAAACAGTGCTGCAAAGGACTCTGCTGAGATCACATCCATGCTGACTGAGACAGAATTGCTTGCAGACAGGAAAGACAGAGTGCGGAAAGACACAGTGCAGAAAGAAGAAACAGGGAGGTGAGTGACACAAGCTGGTCTAGCAAACCCTATTCATTTAAGCAGCCCTTAATTGGTTGAGTAATTTTAATGAGGACACTGGAAGTGATTGCATGACCATCTACATCAGGACAACATGCCTGGGTGATAAGAAGTGATGAAAGTAATGATTCAGAGTATCAGGCCTTTAAAACATGCTGACGTGGCAAATTAAGAGACTTTAACCTGCTGTAAACTGACTCAATTACTTATAATTTTGAAGAATCATATTGCCTGATTCAGAGGTCTCTGGACTCAAGCCCTGATTTAGATGAAATAGGGAAGTATTTGGGAAATAGGAGAACAAATAAAATGAACTATGCATTTTTATTTATCTTCTAATTTAACCAGGAAGCTCCATCCCTAGAGAAATTGTGTCCTGCTATCAACCTGATTCATTTTAACCTGCAATCCACAGAAAGCAAACAACACTACCCTTCATCAAAGGTTTGAACTAGTATTTGAAGAACAGACAGCTGTGATCTTGTAAGCCTCTGGATTTTTTCTTGTCTCAGTGTGCTTAAGTAAACAGAAGGGAACTGTTTGCTTTGTGTAAGAAATAGAAGGATTGTAAAAATGCCTTAGCTCTGCTTGGAATTCATCCAAACTAAAGAAATTAACTTTCTGTCTTCAGCAAAACTGGCATTCCTCCTTCTTCTACTCATCATCCTCGACCCTGAAACATTAAAATGTCAGCTTGAGCCGCCCACCCCTACTCTTTGGCATTTTATTAGGTTAGTTATCAAAGCTACCTTCATTTGTAGCTGCGTGATAATTCCTATGAAGTAGGAGAGGAACACACACAGTCTCCTGAGCTGCCATTCACAAGTGATATGTACAGTTTATATAAGAAATTATTTTCTCTGCACTCCCGCAACCTGAAATATGGTCCTTTTTAATTATTTTATTACGAACAGGTTGTTTCTTCTTTTCAAGCTTTTGTTCCTCATGGGAACACCATACTTCTTTTTTTGTTCTACAGGGAATTAAAGTAGAAGATCAAACAGAAGCAACATCACTAGAACAGTCCTTTAACTTTAACATACAAAAACCAAAACCAAACCAAACAAAACCAGTTTCTTACATTTTCAATAATATATTTTAAAATTCTTACATTTTCAAGAATATTTTTTAAAGTAAGCAATAAAATGAATCCCCTAAACAGATTCAGCTTTCAAATTTTTTTTAACATTGTGCTTGAAGGGAGCCCACTATAAACTCCAAAGATTTTCAGATTAATCTGGAGGTGAACAGAATTAAATTCCCCTTTAAAATATATAAGAAAATACCACTGATCTGTAGAAAAATGCCACTGTTCTTCCCTAATTATCCCGTCAGAGAAAGATGATCTCAGAGGAACCCTGCCATGGCACAGTCATAGAGATGAAATCTGGTCTGTACAAGCGTTTGTGTTAATATAAGTGTAGTGTCACTGTGTATAAGTTTAAGGGGTTGTCAGTGTGCAGTGTTTTACCTGTACCACCTGGAACAGATGAGGTAATAAAATGAAGAGAACATTTTCTCCCACACCAGGTCTTTGTTTGAAGTAAGGGATATAAGTGTGCAAAGAATCCAGAAGGGAATGGTCAATATACTGATTCAGTATGACCCCTTATGAAGCTTAGGCTATTAGTCAGGTTACTCTGAGCCATGCCATGCTTCTGAGCTGGTTTTGTGCTCTGTCATCAACAGCACAGGAAGAGTAAGGCACTTGCTGTGTGAAAAAAAAAAAAAAAGAAAAAGTAAAGTAATACTCATTAAAGCATACTTCCCATCGTTTCAAGCTGTAGTTTCCCCTGTTTTCGTTTAAAAAGTCTATGCAAGCTTTCAGCTTTCCCTAGCTTTATTTGTATCATCATTCAAGTGCTCTCTGTAGCAAATGCTATGCCAGCTCTGTCATTTTAAACTACTGCTAATCTTTAAATAGTCAGCCTTGAAAATTCATTTCGGGCAAGGGCTTTGCATAAAGGATCTTAGCTTAGAAGATTAAAATGAGTTGCCTAATTGTTGCATCCTCTTTCCCCCCAAGATAAGCAGTCACACACAGTTTGCTGATTCAAAGGATTAAGTTTACCAATTTTTCATATTTTACAGCTATAAGAGGGGAAAAATTAAAAACAATGTTGGACATAGGAACTGCAAAGCTTTCTTTCAACTTTTAAGCTTAGCTGTTTCTAATTTTTCCAGTCAAAACATAGGTACTATAATTTGGCTTCTTTTGTTAGCAGAAATACCCTCAATCATTTAGCTGAGTATCTGACAATCACTAATACTTACCCCAAAGCAGTGGCATCTGTGCTCCTCCAGAATTT